TTCAAATTTTTTATTTATAATCCGATCGTCGTGAAACTTTGGGAAACCTAATTTTCTGCCAAAAAAATGATCTAGACGAAATTTCATGTTAATTGGTCGATAAATGAACATAGCTCGTCGTGAAACTTTGGGAAACCAAATTTCCTGCGATCCCATCTACGCGTATCCGTTTGGGATCGGATCGGATGGACGGCAGCGGATGAAGGAAAACGTCTGGAATTTTTTAAGTAAATTAGTTGTTCTTCATTTTGATCAAATTGCCTTTGCATCGAAATATTAAAGTGCGAATCTTTCGTTTAGCAGTTTTAATTCTAATCCAGTTTCGCGGCACACTGTATTTTCGGTTGGGATTGGTGGTTTCTTCTATTGGGTATCACTTGTATGTAATGTCGGTATATGAAGGCGTTTTATTTTCAACCAAAAGTGTGTTTGAGTATAGATGTCGCAGATTTTAATGGACATTTGTATGTATAGATGGTGGCGCCGGCCTACTTAACTACCCACTAAACTGCAGTGATTCCAATCGATGCTTTTATGTACAAATCAATCATCAGTTCAGAAATGTATGTCACTTAGATGCGAGAAGAAAGCAAATAAAGCACTAGCCATCTCAATCATTGGTGAGCATCTATTGAACCTTAATTTTGAAACATTATTAAAAAAAATTTTTGGTGCAATCAGGTCTCGTTCTTATATTTATTGTGAACTTTTACACGGGTCTCACTCTCTTCGCGCATTACAAAGATTGCAGTCCCTGGAAATCTGGTCAGATCAGAGCCAAAGACGAGCTGCTACCATCTTACATAATGAACGTTTTCCATCACATCCGATTCGTGAATGGATTTTTCGTGGCCGGAATCTTGGCTGCCAGTTTGGGGTAAGTTTAATTTTTTTTGCAATATATTTCTGCGATGATTTAACATTATAATATTGAAATAGAACTGTTGCATCAGCACTAAATTCGTTGGCGGCCGTTACAAGCGAAGATATTGTGAGTACGGCATTAAATATAAAAATAAAACCGGAAAAAGATGCCGTTTATGCAAAGTGGATGTCATTGGGGTAAGTTGGCATCGGCTATTAATTTTGTGAATTATATTGACCAGTCAATTTTAAAATTCTTCCGCATGTAGGTATGGAATTTTATCATTTTTGGTATTTATGGTTGAACAATTGGGTAGAATTTTGCAAGCCACTCTTACATTGAATGGCCTCATTGGGGGGCGTCACACTTGGATTGTTTTCACTTGGCGTTTTCTTCAAAAGTGCCAATACTAAGGTACGCCGTTTAATACACATGTAACTCGATTTGTTTAGACAAATTCATAAATTGTTTGATGTGTTTTTTACAGGGAGCTTTCTCCCATGGCGGCATCATCTCATTGATTCTTGTCGTTTATATTGGATTAATGGCACTCTAACAAAATGCTGAAGTGCAACCATTGGAATTATAATTAAATACATGCGATTGTTTTGTTTCCAATTCAACAACACACCAAAGGGTGCCACAGCAAAGCACCAGCACAATTTTAAAGTAAGTTAAATCCGTCAAATATTATTTCATGTTCCAAATGCTTACTTTTTCTTCAAGTAGCAGTCCAGTGATATTTCGTATAAGTACTTAAATTTAGATCATACATGTATTAGATCATTATCATACATAATAGACATTTATATAATGACAGGAAAGGGGACTGTACCATCATTATTCGATACCAATTAAATAATGGAAGTCGTATAGTTACGTGCGAAATACCATTCAATGTAAAAGATATTTACTATTTGTATACATGCGCAATTATTCAATTGGCATTGTTAAAACAACTCGATTTATGATGACAATAATAAAAAACAAATAAACAAATTTTTCGAATGATATTTGACGTATTAACGGTGGTATGGTTACTAAGGAGGTAAAAGGTTGTTTATTTTTTATTTTTTTTATTGAGTAAGTATTGGCATTTTTCGATTTCCTGTCAGCAAATTTCTTTTTCGTCGTCAGTTGGTTGCGATATCAACGCCATTTTAGTTAGAATGGTAGAATGGAAACAAAACATACGGATAAATCGGATAGTGATAGTGGCAATCAATCGGGTTCAATTTCCACATCGGAATTTTTAGATTTTTTAAAGTTAGCATGCCATGTACACGAGTCAATTATTCTTAAGAATGAAAATGGTAAAAATGTGGATTTCAACGCATTAGCAAAATACGAATTAGTGAACAGACTATTGAATTCAAAATCAGGTCAAAGTCCCAAATTAAACGTGCCTGAAGATGGTTGTAGCACGGATAAAAATGGTGAGGTCTTAAAAAAAACGTAAAAATGTCAGCAAACATTCAAATCCCTCATCGAAGAATGAATAAAAATCAGCATTATTGTAATGGAATAAAATGTTCAATTTCAGATGGAAGTTCTCAAATTGAAAGTAATTTGGTCCAGAAATGGAATCGAAGCTTCAAAGGGCGGCACAGTTTCAATGAGAAATTACCATTGGATTCAATTCTTACCGAAAAATTGAATGAAGTCATTAGCGAAGGAATTTTAGACTCAATTTTACCATTTATTTGTGCAGCAAATTTGCCGACACAAAGTGATAAATTGAATGTGAGCCACACATGCGGTTTAAAAACGAAATCAAACGGCAATGCAAAATTGTTGAGTCCACGAATAGTTGTGAATAATGGTGAAACGACAAATACCAGCAGATCGAGTAATGAAAATCCAAATCTAAGATCATCATCGAAAGAAGGACATCAACGCCGAAAATCGAGTCAATCACTCGGTTTGCTATCCGAGTATGCGATGTTTTGTTTACATTTTATTGATTTTGTATTACTTATGTAACGTGATATTCAATTTCAGTCACGAAGTCTTGATTCATGTTTGTGATGAGGTTAAAGGAACGTCCAAGGATTTTTCATGTCCGCAAAGATTGTTGGTTACAAAAATGGGCTATTTCGCTGATGTAACAGCTGGTCAACGGCTCGAGGACATGGACATTTCGGTTCATTGTGATTTACAAATATTTGAATGGCTCATGCGATGGGTTAAAAAGGATGCACTCTCCGAAGAAATGTGGCCACTACTTGATTCAATAAATGTTGTTCCTATTCTCGTTTCTGCTGGTTTTCTACAAGTAATTTTTGACCGATTTTTTTGCGTTTCAGCATTCAACTAATCGTTACTATTTTGAATGTAAATATTTGTTACTTAGATGGAACCACTTTTGTTAGATTGTTTAGCTTATTGTCATGCAAATTTAAATGAAATTGTTAAAGCGTCCGCAAATTTATCCTGTCTGAATGAAAGTATTATATCACGATTGGCCGCAATGTTTACAAATTTAGAATTAGAAATGGTTAAAGATAAAAAGGAGCGCGTTACACCGCGCATATGGATTAAAATGATTCAAAGTTTATGTGAACCACCACAAGCACTCAGAGGACATTATGGCAGTCTTTGTGATTTATTTCGATGTTCACGGTGTGTACAGCTCTCGGAAAATTAAGTTTTATTAAATTAATAATTGACTTTAAATCCATAGGTGCCTAAAATGTGTCAATGAATCGATGGCGACTATAATTCACTGTGATCCTTCAAATATGCATTTGAATCGATACGGCCAAGTAATAAGTCAACATTGTCGGGATACATCATGGAATTTTAATCATTTTATTTCAACACTGTATAAAGAGCTCAAATCTTGGCGAAAAGTTTATTGGCGTCTATGGGGGAATGTTCATTATTTGTAAGAGTTTGTCGTCAATCATCGTAATTTTTTATAAAGACTTTAATTAAATGTCGTATTTTAATCATTTAAGATATTGCGCAACATGTGAAAGCTACTTTCCATTGTACCAGGTAAATGAGATTTGGCTTTCGTGTTTGACTTTTCATTTTAAAAATCACTTTCAATCTAGATGAACTGGTGTTTGTATCATTCAGAGCAAGCGCAATTTTTGGGACCTGTAACGGAAACCAGAATGCCAGGACCAGCTGGAAGATACACATGCTGTGGCCAACAAGCATTTCGCTACGAAACTCTGCCGGGACCAATGGTAAATACCACAAAAAGAAACAATATTTTTTTCTTCATCCGATTCGATTACAGGGATGCCAATATCGAGAGCATACTGTGCAAATACTTAACGACAAGGATCGTGCCATATTAAAATTGGCTCAAGTAGCGGCCGAAGGAAATTGTTTATATGAACCACCACCAAGTAAACTACTGAAGGCCAGTGTTCTGAATGAAACATGGTGGAATGGCATTATACTAACGCCGACAAAAGATCGTCCGGGACTATTACCTCCAATTGTACTCGCTGGTATTATTTATTGCTGCCGACATGATGAAAAAATGTTTCCATTAAACCTATATTTTTAGTGGAGAATCGGAATGGACGTGCCAAAGTGTGCATTCAGTCTTCGGCCTCATTTGAATCGAGCAGTGACAGTGAATCGAGTAATAATTATAAAACAAATAAATTGCTAAAGCAATTCTCAACAACGAGCAGTGATGGATGTGAATCAGATTACAGCAGCCCACGACCTGTAAAACCAAGAATGAGACCAGTGCAAAGGTAAGAATGCATTGAACAATTTTATTTTTGTCTTGTAAATCATCATGTCGATGCAAGGACCATTTTAAATTTGTTACAGTCGCAAGCCAAAACCAAGTGGACGTCATTGGTCGGGTGAGATTTCGGCACGCAGCAATCAAGATAATCAAAGAGAATTTGAAGAACGTGCCATGCGACACATAATATCAATGGTACGAAAAAAAGTCGGAAACGAAAATCAAATTCAACAAGAATCACAATCAATTGGGGGTAGTTATGTGCATTTGGAAGCCGAATGGCGAGAGAAACATCGTCAAAATAAAGTCAAACTAACCGGCAAATAAGAATGGAAAAAAATAAACACCGAAAATATCTTCATTTATCAATTTAATTTCGATTTTTAATCATGAACTTACATTTATATAAATTGAGAAGCATCTCTTATCTCATTTAAATTTTATTGTACATCTCAACTACGGGCATTGTTTTCATTTTTCTTCTTCATTTAAATCATATCTCAGTTTTATCATCGTTAATTTAAATTTGTATGTTAAAACAATTCAAAGAGCGTGTGTGTATGTCTGTGTTTGCGTATGTATGTGTACGTGTTTGTTTTTTCTTTCTTTTTTTTCGCATTGATTTGCTGTCTCAATTTTTTTATATACAATTTTATTTGATGCGCAGTTGTTATTGTTTTGCAATGCCAAACCAAATACGAATAAATTGTGCTCCTTCATTTCAATTGAATCGCGAAGCCATTCGAAAACCAATCTGTTATGGCAAATTGCATATATGCGCAAATTGATTTAAGCATCCAATCGACGCAAGTGTGGCACACACACGTATAACCGTAAACAAAAAAAAACTATAACAAAAAAATTAAGAAAATATAAATATGAGAAGAAAAAAAAATGAAATTCGTAATGTCCCTTAGACAAATGAACCAATTTTTCGACGGTGTTTTTTATATGAACAGATTCAACAATTATCGATAAACAAAAAAGAGCAGCAAAAAAAAAAATTCGAATTAAAACAAAAGAAAAAAAAAACAAAATAAAAGAGAAAATTAATAATAATAATAATTTAAGTGGATTTGTGTATGTTTGTTCACTGCACTAGCGGTCAGTTCATTTGACCACCAAATGATTTTTACTCCACGGTTTACTCTTCATTGTCTCTCGCTATCTTGTTTATGTCATAAACCGATAATTTAGGAATTCTCTTTGTTTTGGAGCTAACTGAACAGATTTTCGGTGGCTTTTTCTAAATTCCAATTCTCCTTCGACAACACCGATCTGGCCTCATGCTCTTGTATGCCCATATCACGTAAACGCTGAATTTTTTGATCGCAATCTTGATTACGATTTGGACCACCTGCATATGCATTTGTCCAATGTTTTGCTGTCAACACAAACATTTCGTATTTTTCTTTGTATTGAGATGCAACAACCGCATCTTGTGGATCGTCTGGTTCAGCGGCCGATAATAGAGCTTGTAACGATAGCAGCACAGTACGCAGTGTCATAGCAGCAGCCCTATACGATTTCCCCAAAAGAAATATTTATATATGAAAATATGAGTGGTTTTTTCACGATTTTAATTCAATAAGCAAATTTACCAATTGTCTTTTAAAATATCCAAACAAATAGCACCAGTCACCGATGATATGTTCGGATGCCAAATTCGTGTAATGAATCTAACCTGTTTAAAGTAAATTGGATTAAAAAATGCATTAAATTGATTGATCATCGATCTGTGATCATCTCATTCGCGAACCTTTGGGGGATTGAATGGATAAGTTTCTGGCACTTTGATTTCCAATTGAAATTTTCCGCCTTCATATGGTGTGTCTGGTGGGCCAGCAATTTCACCTCGTAATTCTGTCCAACTGTCATTTACTAATTCAATTTTGATCGAACATTGAACAATCTGAAAAATTATCAAAAAAACATTGTGAATGAATGACAGCAAAAAAATAACCAAGAAAAACAAGTGGATACTTTTTCTTCTTTGGAAATCAACAAAAATAATAATAATTGCATCAAAAGTAATGAGATCATATCAAAAGGCCAAAGGGATCAAACAATAAGATGACGTCCATTGAACATACCATGATCATTGAATCGTTTTGAAAAGGGAAAATAAATAGGTTAAGAAGAAGAAAACAAAACTGATTACATTTGAACAGATATTTTAAGAAAGGCAAAACAAATTTGAACGCGTATCGCACACAATCAGCTGACCCACACATAAACCGCAAATGGGGATCATTCGATTTATTTTAAAATTCAGAATATGAATTATTTTTTCAGTTTGAGTTAGTGAGAGTAAAAAAACACCATATTTTTAAGTCCTTATCAAGAACCCAGCAATTGTGTTATTTGTAAAAAAAAGAAAGAATAATTTCAGGTCTTGCGCAGTGTTCGCATCGAAGGAGTTGATTTTTTGTCGACTTTCGTTGTTCACTTAAGGTAAATTTAAGGAAAATCTCAATAAAACACACACTTTTATTGAACAATATTACTGGAAAAAAGTGTGAAATTGACACACTAGTGAAATTGAAAAATTATCATTTATTCATATATTTTCATTTCTTTTGTTCTTTCATGTCACAAATTTGTTGTTGTTATTATTGTTGGATTTTCGTTGAAAATTGAAAATGTCAACAAAATCAAAAGGTCTAGAGAGTTGAAACACGCCAATTATTTGTTTTTTTTTTTTTTTTTTTTTTTTTTGTTCACTGGAAAATTCAAACGACCAAAAGATCGCAAACTGATCAATCGATAAAATGTCAAGTGATGAGCCGGTCGAGGATAACGATAAAAACAAAGGTAAACATTTTATTTTGTATGTAAAGCAAAAGCGATACACACTTCGAAGCCAATTAAGTAAAAAGAAGTTTTTTTAACAGAAAAATACATATATATGATTTTTTTTTCGCTAAAATTCGTATAAAAATGAACGATATATGTTATAATTTACAAAAAAAGTGGCTGAAAAATAATTATCATACATCGAATCATTCAAATGTCATTTGCATCATTTTGTCCCAGGCACTTTTGAATCCAAAACAAATGAACGGAACTTCATTCGAAGCGATTCGATCATGTAGAATGTACGCGAAATTCTTCCGATCGATTGACAAAAAAAACGTCAAAATGAAAAAAAACAACAACTAATTTCTGTTGATTATAACTAACCTCTTCGCTTTTAATGACTTCTTTAAATTCCCTCTTTATTCGAGATACCGCCATGTTCGCCATTTTGAACGCTTATACCTATGTTGATAATTTCTATGACAAAAAAAATTGTTTTTGTTGTTTTCGTCTATTAATTTTTACTCTCGTATGCCGTGTGTAAGTGTCGATAAATGTGTTTGCTACAATTGTTATATTTGATGTTTGTTAATTTCTTCGTTCTATAGTGTTGTATATTGTGGTCAATTGATTTCTCACTTTATGTACACGTTAAAAAAAAAACAACGATGATTTTCCGTTTATACGAAATATCCGTCAAAAATCCGAATGCAATTGAATACCACCAAAACTTGCTGACGTAAAACAGTGTGTCTTCAAACTAACAAAAAAAAAATATGACAAAACAACATCAATATTTCGACAAATTCACTGTTTGCCCCTAATTGAAAATCTTTTTAATCAACTTGTAGATTGATAAATTGCTTGTATTTTTCTTTTCTGCTCTTTCGTTTTTTATATATATATTTCGTTTTTTTTCTTTAGCTCCTTATAATACTCTCAATGCTTCCCTGTGCATATATGTTTGTACTACGAAAATGACAAAACAATAACATAGAGAACCAATAAGAATTATTATTGCATACAGTGACAGCAGCGAACACAGAGCTTCTCACAAGTGAAAGTAGTGCCATTTTTGAAAAAATATCATTTGTATGAATGTGTGTGCATTTGACGACTGTCAGATAGTCGCGCAAAATGGTCAATCGTCTTTAACATTGTATGTATTGTCGAATTTGAATTTTACGTTGAACATCATTTTCGTTTAATATTTCATATAAGGAAAAAAAATTGATAGCTCGTTGCTAGGTGTATTAGGATACGCTATATTGCTATTTGGAATTGTATCCAAGCACATAAGCAAAAATTTAAAAAAAATCGACGTGTGTAGACAACGTAATTATTTTACAACAAATAAAACCATCAAATATTACAACATACGCAATTTCGATATGTCGAACCCGTTGGCCAACTTTCAATCGGTTAACACTATTTCTACAACAAGCTCAATAACACTTGAATATGTGTGCTCATGTATGCTGGTCTGTATGTGTGTGTGTGTAAGTGTATTGGCAATGTCTCTAGCAACATGTGTATCTCCCGCGTGCGCATAGTTCAAGCAATATGGCAAGAACCAGAAAAACGAAAGACAAAGTCACAGGAGAGAAACAAAACACATACAAATTCTAACACTAAACGAATGAAGGAAAGAAAGAAAATTCCATACACTCAATACAGACAATTGGCGATGAAGAGCAATATACACACGCAACTACCATGACAACAGCAAAACGCTAGGGAAAAAAACACGAGACAAACGAAACAACAATACAAATGCGAAACGAATGAGTTGTACGAAACCAAAAAAAAAAAATTGCTGGCCATCTCGCTTGCACTCATTGATTGGGCTACTACGCTGAATTTGTACTATCAGTTTATGTGACGTTTCTGACTGACGACATGATTATCATTATTTTTCTTTCACCGAAAAAAATATATACATCGTGTGTATCGCTGGTGCTGTTGATTGTGTGATGCCAGTACGATCTACTAATCCCATACGCGCTAAAAGTTTAGTCCGGAGTAACTTGGAACAGTCGAGTGTGCTGAAACTACAGTCTAGGATGCCGAACATTAAAGTATTCTCCGGTTCATCACATCCCGATTTAGCCCAACGCATTGTCGATCGGCTTGGCATTGATTTGGGCAAGGTGGTTACGAAAAAATTCAGCAATTTAGAAACATGGTGAGTACGGTTTTTTTTTTCTCTTCAATTTGTTATTCTTTTTTCTGAAGAAATTTCAACATTTTTTGAAAACAACGAAGTTTTTTTTCGCTCTCGTCGGAATTGTTCGCAAATATTTAACGTGTTTAAAATGTGTGTAGTGTCATCAATGATGATGATGATGATGGGTTCTAGCAACCACAGTGAAACAAGTTCTTTCGTAGTTCATATTTGGCGTATATATGTTTATTGTTTGCGTGATTGATCTGTATTCTCTAAGCTCTTTCTCATTCTCGTTCGGGGCATATAAAAAACCACGAGCATGTGCCTATTTAATTCATAAATGCGGAGTTGTGATTTTTTTTATGCCTACACCATACAGCATTATACCATTTTTGGTGCTTCTTTTTTTCAATCAACATACGAAATTGTTCGATTAAAAAAATATCAAATTGTTGTGTTGCTTTAAAAAAAATACCAATGAAAACTGTACAATGCCAATTGGTAAGACGGAATTATCATCATGCTTGTTATTTTTCAATAATGAATACAATTCTGTATTCTAATCATAATCATATTTCATTTTAAAGCAGACAGTGTGTGTGTAATTGTATTTAGAGTATGTAAATGCTCGAAAGGCGCACCGAAATTGATTGAGATGTTCGTTTACGGTACTTAAAATAGCATTTTGGTCATGTAATTAAAATGACATGAATGAAAGTCATTTAAAACACCGAAAAGCATGACATCAAACCAAATCTCTTACCTTATAGCAAGTGAGGCTATTGTTTTGGCGTGATTTTTGATTCGAAAATTAAAAACTGAACGCCATGAAATGACATTTGAAGATAATATTGCAAATAAAATAAATAACATTCGAAAACATTTTCAGAGCCCGAAAATGTGCACACTGTTCTATGTGAAAACGTGCTATTGAATTACACATCGTTGCGTTTTGCTTATCTGTGTTTCATTTCTCTTCTCTCCCGTTTTTCCGTCTGTCTGACCTGTTCGCACCAAAATGAACGAAAATGAAATAAAAAAGGGTCTTTATTGCACAATGCAGCTTTGAAGAATTTTCGTATCTTTCGTAAAATACGAGAACCATGTGCAAGAGAAACAGGTACGCCAAAATGCATTTCGTTTGCTGAATAGAAAATATATATATATATACCAAAAATTCCAACCACCAATAACAAAAACATAACCTGCACACATGCTTCATTTCATTTTTGTTTCGAACAATATAAATTTTGCACAATATATTTTAAATCGGAAATGCCAACACAGAAATGGAGATAGAGAAATGTGATTGCACATATGAATTCTCCATAGAATGCAATTGTTTCGCATTTTATACGTTTATATGTATGGAGACTTCTTTTGAGCTATTTTCGGGCAAATTCAAGTTTTACACACATTCGCAATTGTGAATCATTCACAAGGAAATTTGATCAGGTTTTTGTCGTGTTCCCTTTAGTTTTTCTTTTGTTCGGAAATAGTTCAAGTTCTAAGACTATGCGCATCATCATGAATTGCCGCAATTGCGACATATCAATATCATCCAAATACAACGCGACAACGATACACGTTGTGTGTGAATCGATAAACACGAAAACGATTGAGAGAAGACACAAAGAAAAATACACAAGAAATAATAAAATACACGACATTATTATTGCGTTTATCACTGTTGGTTGTATCGAATGTGTTCCACTCAGCTGATCAAAATGAAAGTGGCAATATCGCTAGCGCACATACACAATTACTTGAATACACGTGCGAATGGTGTTGTCTGTGTACATTCTTCGTAGTTTTACAGAGATAAATTTGGTAGTTGGATGGACTATCTTTTACAATTTTATGATTGCATATCACTTATGATTTATGAATTTAATTTGGAGCGAAGGGGAAAATAAGCGAAAAAATTCCATGTAAACATAACGTCAAACATTTCCATTCATTATGGAATTTAAATGTTTTCTTCGTTGGAAGCGTCGTTGGGGTCAATAATCAAATCTCAAAATAAACGATTTTTTTTTCTTTAAATGAATTATTATAAACGTAATCGATGTGAGAAAAAAAAATGACCATTAAAGTCATGACAACAATATAAACAGAGATAATTTTCAATCGATATTTCAATCTATTTTGACTAGATTTTAGATTATATATTTGGTCATAATTTCCATTGGAAATATTTTGGCATTTTGAAATCAATTTCAGTTGATTGACCAGTACAAAAAATTGGAGGGGGGGGCAAACGTAAATTGAAAATATGTTTACGCCATAGATTACTTCAGGGGTCAACTAGAATTCTTATATACAAACTTGAAAAAGGTTATCACATGTACATAATAAGGAGCACAAATATATATATAAGGAAAAAACAACCACATATTATTATAAACGGTCAATATCGGCTGGTTCATTGGAAAAATAATTGATAGACGCAATTTAAGCTCATTTTTTTTGCGGCAATAGAAATAAACCGCATTTTCCTTCGGTTGAAAATGTCACTTTTGTCGATATGTGCTTGGCACCCTCTCTGGCTCACAAATATGACAAATTCAAATGCAATAAATGTTTCTTCTGTTTTTTTATGAATGTTGCACTACATATTGACCTTCAACATTTATGTCAAACGATTCATATTTGAACTGATATGGATTCCAACATCTGAAGGATATCTCTCATTATTGTGAGTGCTTAATTTTAGATTGAGGTCGATTCCATACCGTATATGCAATCGCAAGCATTATAATTCTTTGTTCGTTTTATTGTTCAAATTCAAATAATAACAAGAAATTATCGATTAAACAGATTATCAAATGCTAATCGAAGCAAAAAAAAATTTAAAAAATGCCTTAGATACAAACAAAAGGTTGTGCCCTGTGCCTGCCTCTTGAATTCGTCCAATAAGAAACTAGTTTAAAATGTTAGCTCTTTAATTTTGGTTTAGTTTTGTTTCAAGGAGATTACCCGATTTTACAAAGTGTTTACTGTCAGAAATGATTTTTTTTATGAACTATTAGATAAGAGTTGTTTATACACTGTGCCTGGCACCCGATTTATATTGTTATTGTATGCTTTGCGTGTCTTTCAATGGAATTGTATTTTTTTTCTCTTTAATTTGTAGCGTTGAAATTGGTGAATCAGTCCGTGGTGAAGATGTATACATTGTACAGTCTGGTTCTGGCGAAATAAATGACAATCTTATGGAATTATTGATTATGATAAATGCATGTAAAATTGCATCAGCGTCTCGTGTAACAGCTGTTATTCCATGCTTCCCGTATGCCAGACAAGATAAAAAGGATAAGGTAAAAATTGAACATCTTTTCCGAATTGCATTTACTTCGATATATTAATAATACAAGTTTTTAATTTCCTTTTTTCTGTTAAAACAACAATTAATTTATATCGAGAATGCAATTTGATATCAATTGCGAATAAAATAAAACTAAGAGAAGCTATGGCACGAGAGAAAATCAATTTTGTCCACCGCAATTAATGTTTGATAATAATCTAAAAACGAATATCAAAATCGTTGATATTTTAAGCATTTTTGAGTATATTGAATGTTTTTGTTTTTGCTATTTGAATTTCTGAAGAGCGCATCTTGTGTACATAGATCTATATATATATATATTTTTTTTTTTGGTTGAAATTCACGTTTTTGCTATTATTAATGTTTGATTGCAGTTTTTATGCCCTAATCTTGAACTGTGTATGATATACATATATAACGTTATTCTCTCATTCTGCTCCCACCGTTGTTTTCTTTTAATTTCACACTTACAATTTGTGTACGAATTTTGAAGTAATAGTAATCGTCATTTATTTATTTATTGTTATGCAATGTCGGAGCCGATTTGTTTATTGATTCAACATTGTCAAATTGTTTATTTATGCTTACTTTTTAAGAGTAAATACAAATTCAAATTTAAACAACAATCTAGAATCAGCCACAACAACAGCAGATATGTAAACTATTAATTTTGATGTTATTTTGTAAACAATTCTCTTTCAATATATCTCTCTCTCTCTCTCTCTCTCTCTATCTATTTCTCTCTGTTTTTCCCTTTATTTTCTCATTCAAAGTAAATATATGTACAAATTAGCGGGTAACCTGTAAATGAGCTGCATAATAATTTGACAATGCGTTTAATGGGCGCACCAAAACAGATCATTTATTAATTGTATTATCTCAATTTGGTGGATATTTTTTTATAAAATAATGCGAAAAACAATGAAAAAGAAACAATAAAAGCTAAAACGTTTCACGGCGATAAAGGGATAAGTAACGTTTCGCAAAAACGAAAATTCAATCATTAATAAATGAGCTGAACGCCAAAGGTTTAAATATGTTTTTAAAAATATAAAATCAAACTGAATTATGCAGAAATCGTAAAGTGACAAGAAATAAAATAAATACCGATTATTAAAATTTGTTTAAACGTTTATAAAATAGGCAGGCGAGGGTAAAGAATCCACAACTTCCCTGAACAATGTCCAACGATTGAAGTACAACGAATGGAAATTTAGGGTATTAGAAAAATGAATATTTTCAAATTTCATTTCTATATTTTTTATTTAAACTTTTTTTTTTTTTAAAAAAAGGAGATTTAACTCATCATTTGCTTTTTTGGTCATTTTTACTTCGTTTATGATGTAAATGTTTAATTTTATTTCAATTTTCAACAACAAAGAAACTTAAGAAAAATTTAATTGTGAATTTTTCTTACTTCAAAATGGGTCTTCATTCTGTATTTTGTATATGTGAATAATGTTCATCAAAAAAATTAGTTTTCAACAAACAAAAAAACAAGACATTTTTTACCATTTTTCAGCGTCCAAAATGTGTCCATTTCTCAAAAATTGCACAAAAAAAACTCATCAGTTGTCATTGACCTAATAAATCGTTTTGGCTACATTCACACAAACATTTAGTTGTCGTTTGTTGTAAACATTCATAATAATTATCCATATATTTATTGCTACTAACACACCGCCTGTCAGTCCAAAAATTATAAAATAAAATAAAACCATTGCCATCCAACGAAAAAACAACAGTATAATATCGAGTAAGATTTTTAATTTTCATATAACCTAGTGAGTAGAGTGAAGTGCTTTTTGAATTTAGTTTGCCTGATAGAGTCTGAGCTCAGAACAATAACCTGTCCCCCTTATTAAGATGAATATTTAGATCACACACATTTGCTGTGTACAATTTTTTTTTGAAAATTTTGAATTTCACACACACACACACACCATATCAACATTCTGTTTTAGACCGTTCCACGCTCACGTTTAACTTAAACCGTCAACATTCTCTCCGCCATGAATATTTTGTTGTTTATTGTCTATGATTTTCAGAAATTGTGTGTTTTTCTTTTCAATTTTCTATTCATGAATTTGTCAATATTTTTTTAGGATTTTTCTACGCACAATTATACTGTGAGTAATCGTGTTTGTTGTTATTGTTAACTGTGTTTGGTAATGTTTTTCGTTTTGGTTTTCTTTTTTAGTTAGGAAGAAAAAAAAAACAGAGAAAAATAAAATTCAAAATAAATCCTATCACTGATTTATATAATAAATATTTTTTTTTTTTACCAAACATTGATTTTAAGATAATAATAACGATATATCATTTTAAAATAAATGCCATCATCATCAACATCTGAATCATATCTGAAAAATTGTGTTGTGTGCGATTAAAATGTCTGATGAATTGATTGAGCTTGAGATGATTGTTATTTTTTCATTTCAAGAATTGAAAATTAATGAAAAAATTATTATTGAAAAGTGGTAGGGAAACAAATGCCATAGAAAAAATTCAATGCACTAAATAATTCGATTTATTGGACTTATTGGGTTAGAAATGTATATTTAGAGGTAAAAAAATAATAATAAACAAAATAATTAGATGCATGCAATATAGAGTTTATACATTACATATAATCTGTGCTATATGTTGTGAATTGTCACTTTTTGATTTTTGCTTAAAAGAAAAACCAAAACTAAAAAAAGACACACATAATTAATTTATAATTTAGCTGATTGAATAAATAATTTTTGTGTACGTTTTCTTTTTCCGTTGTCGAAACCACTACTCATTGAGATTTCATTTTTTTTATTGAAACCAAAATATTTAATGGTCGTTTGATTTATCCGTACAATGGAGGTTAAACGACTAAAATAAAACAACAACACACAATCAAAATGGGTATTTTCATAACTACAATTAATATATCAGTATTATACAAATTGCATGTGTCCTTTTGCGAATATCATTGTGGGAAAAATCCATGCAAACGAACGTTACCATTTTTTTATTATCCATTGTAAAACTAATCACATAATCGCACTTATATATACATTTACATTTAAACTAATTGGAACGCATTTATTTTCCCATTTTCTCTTTTACACATCCTTCATACGTTGACTGATCACCGACATGGAATTCTACGCATTTAGAGTCGTGCACCGATTTCAGCTAAATTAGTTGCGAATATGCTGTCAGTTGCTGGTGCTGATCACATCATAACAATGGATTTGCATGCATCACAAATTCAAGTGAGTATATTAAATGGAATAAATGATTTAATTCCAACCAATTCGAATATCTTTATCATATTTTGCAGGGATTTTTCGATATTCCGGTTGATAATTTGTATGCTGAACCGGCCGTTTTGAAGTGGATAAAAGAAAACATTTCGGAATGGCGTAATTCAATCATTGTATCACCAGATGCTGGTGGTGCAAAGCGTGTCACATCGATCGCTGATCGCTTGAATGTTGAATTCGCCTTGATTCACAAAGAACGTAAGAAGGCAAACGAGGTTGCATCAATGGTATTGGTCGGTGATGTAAAAGATCGTGTTGCAATTTTGGTTGATGATATGGCCGACACATGCGGTACCATTTGTCATGCAGCTGAAAAACTAATGGAAGCTGGTGCAACTCGTGTGTACGCCATTTTAACACATGGCATTTTCTCCGGTCCGGCCATTTCACGAATAAATAATGCCTGTTTTGAAGCGGTTGTTGTTACAAATACAATTCCACAAGATGGCCATATGCGTGACTGCCCCAAAATTCAGGTAAATTTAAATTAACACAAAATTCATCGTTGCATCAAAACAAACTTCAATATTGATTGATTTTATTTTCTTTCTGTTACAGTGCATCGATGTGTCAATGATGTTTGCTGAAGCCGTTCGACGAACACACAACGGAGAAAGTGTTTCGTATCTATTCTCCAATGTTCCATATTAAACAGAAAAAACCGACTCAGCAATGATTTTTTTCGCTATCTTTTTAAAAAAGAATCTTTTTTTTTTTTCAAATTGTTCAAATATTTTTCGGATTCGTGAATTGATTGTATAATTATATGAAATGCTAAGAAAGTTTATACAAAAATTATGGATAACAAACCAACATTCAATTTTTTTTAATTTACGCATTGTTTGAAAAATGAAAATAAAAACGGAAAATTTACAAAAAAAAAATGATAAACTTATAAAAACCAATTAAAATGGAAACCAATATTCCACAATTGTATTGTATGAGCCATTGGATTTAATAAATCGCTGACTATAATAATAACTCAACAAAAAAATGAAGAAAAAAAGACAGTTTACAATGCAATTATAAAAATAGAAATAATACAATTCCTGTGTATTTCATACTTACTTTTGAGCTCATGCAACCTGTTGATGATAGAAAATAAAAACTGATTTAAAACAATTCTCACCATTTCGTTTTCTATTGCACATGACCTAGTATAGTGATGAATATTTGGAATTAACTTTGAGCAATACAAACTTGAAAGTGAACAAAATTTCACTAGCTTTTCAGTTATCTAGAGAACAATGTCATGGAAATTGTATTGATTTCAAACGTGTAAGTAAGTGATTAAACAAGCGATTCAATGTGTGCGTGCTGTGTAAAATGGACAAATTTCTTCAATTTTTTTCTACATAAAATTCAAATAAAAACACATTATGAATTATCCAGTGGAAGTTAACGCAAATTACATCCGTATCAATTTCACCTATAAATTGATAATCCAACAGATTTAAAACCAGGAGAATAATAAATTCTATAATCGATTCGATTTAATACAGATTCATTTATTTATTTACTTTTCTTCTTCAAAAATGCTCCAGAGCCCTTTAATCAAATAATTTAATTTTTTCAAGCATTTTTTTTTTATTTTTGGTTCTTTATGATTTTTGGTTAGTTTTTCTAGTTTTTTTTTGGTTTGCTATTTTGAATTCAAAATTCGTTATTAACAAATAATACAATTTTCTTGAGTTCATTTTGTGGTTCGTATGTATCACCGTGTTTCTTTAGTATTCTGTATACTCTTGGCCTTCGTACTCATCTTCAACATCATCGGTACCGACTTCTTCGTAATCCTTTTCTAATGTGGCCAAATCTTCTCGAGCTTCAGCGAATTCACCTTCTTCCATTCCCTCACCAACATACCTGTAATATAAAAAAAATGATTGCATTCGAATTTGTAAACACTTTTAAAATCTAGAATGCTCATCATTTCTTATTGAAAGTTTTAATGCTTACCAGTGAACAAATGCTCGTTTTTTGTACATCAAGTCAAATTCTGTAGAATAAGAAGAATATACATGAATATTCAAATTTCTGCTTAGTATTTCAATACATTGAGTGACAAATACTTACTGGCATTCATACGACAGAATCCTTCAGCAATGGCCGTTGAATTGGAAAGCATACAACAGGCTTTGGTTGTCAACGCCAAATCACCACCAGGTACAACCGATGGTTGTTGACAATTGATTCCAACTTTGAATCCAGTCGGACACCAGTCAACAAATGAGATCGCACGCTATTGCAGATAAACAATGTATGTGCATCAATATGACGAGATCGAAAATATAGTACAACCAATGGTTCAAGAAAATAAAATATATGTTCGGATGATTACCTTTGATTTAATATGCGATATGGTATCATTGATATCTTTTGGTACAACGTCACCGCGATAAAGCATGCAGCATGCCATATATTTACCCTGTCGCGGATCGCATTTCATCATGCAATTGTTTGGTTCAAAGCAATTTGTTGTGATCTGTCGAATTGAATTGGTTTCGTGCATGGATTTTTCTCTGGCCAACAGTGGCGAATATGCGACCAATGGAAAATGAATACGCGGAAATGGCACCAAATTCGTCTGAAATTCATTTAAATCGACATTCATCGAACCTTGGAAACGTAGCGATGCCGTTGTTGATGCAACCACTTGTGCCAATAAACGATTCAAATTTTTGTATGCTGGACGATCAACTTTTAAACTATTCATACAAATTTCATACAATGCTTCGTTGTCGAACAGAAATGTGACATTTGAATATTCCATGGTGCTGTGCGTTGTCAAAATTGAATTGTACGGTTCAACGACGGCGGTTGAAATCATTGGTGCCGGATAAACCGAGAATTGTAGATTAAGCGCTTTTGCATAGTCATTTTGTAAGCGCTCTAATAAAAGTGCGGTAAAACCAGAACCGGTACCACCGCCAAACGAATTAAATATCAAAAATCCCTGTAAATTGGTGAATTTTTCCACTTGTTTGCGAATCTGTGACAGTACTCGATCGACAATTTCCTTTCCAACGGTGTAATGACCGCGTGCATAATTATTGGCCGCATCTTCTTTGCCCGAAATCATTGTTTCGGGATGATAAAAGTGTTTATGTACACCAGTCCGAATTTCACCAAGTACCGTTGGCTCAAGATCGACGAAAATACTGTGCGGCACATATTTTCCATTGTCGGTTGCACTAAAAAATGAACCAGTGTCTGACGCTTCATGTGCCAATGTACCATCTGCGTTAATGTCATGCTCCAAACGATACAATTCCCAAATCGTATCACCGATTTGTGTACCCGCCTGTCCGATATGTAATGACATCACCTCACGCTAACATATTCACATGAAACAAAACAGAGAAGGGAAAAAACCAATATATCTAGACATTCAATTTTCTAAAAATGCAATTTGATCGGTGTTTTCGCGCGCAAAAGAATGAAAACCACCGAAAAAATAACCGTTATTCGAAATGTTCAACTAGCAAGACAAGATAGCTAAATTTCATATTTGTGATTTTTTTTTCAGCATAGCTATTGTAGACATTCAATTTGTACAAGAAAAAAATGTACGTTGTATGAAGTTTCTAATTAGATTAGATTAAACTTGATATGTTGACCTTTTTTGTGGAAATATTTTGCGTTAACCATGCCAAAAAAAAGGTCATATCATCTTGCGATTATAAAAAGTGCCGTTTGTAAAACACTTACCATTTTGGAATTATTTTCGCTCTTGATCGATTATAAGTTAAAAAAAAAAGAATGCAATAAAAATAACAATTTCACAACAATTAGAACAAATTTAAAATGATATGAACACGATCTTTAAGCAGCAATGTCCAATGCGACACACAACAAAAATGAATCGATTTGCAAAACAGTTAGTTTAGTATTTGACGAATGTCGGATTGTGTTGCGATGCAAAGGTGATCTATCACATTGGACGAACAAATGTGCAGTGAGACGAATTGAATATTCATGTTCGAGTGCGTGCCGTTGCAATGGCGAAAGTGTTTTGAAAATTAATTTCTTCACCGAATTCACCACTGCGAATTCAACCATTGCCTGTCAACAGGTGGCATTCCGTTTATTCGTTTGTTATCGACACGGAAAATAAGTTTTATTCCTATTTTATATTGTTTTCTTATTTTTTTCATTTAATCAACAAATAAAATTATTAAATTTAATCATAAATTTAGCATAAAAACTACTTATTGACTTGAATTTTGCTATTATGAATCGAAAACAGTTTGTTAACATCGAATTTGAATAAATTGTCTACATCGCACATTTACATAGATTCGTGCGCCAATGAGTAGATAACAAAAACAATATTGTTGTTGTTATTGGTGTTGATGATGTTTCGTGCGATGTTCCAATTGTTTCGAAGAACATTGACTTTCGGTCGTTGTCTCATTTGTTCTATGCAAATCGTTCGTTATTTTTCGTGTTCAACCAAAAAAAAAAAAAAAAATGAAAAGCGTTTGTATCTTAACTCATGGTCTTCAAAACGATTTTATTTATAAATATGTCAAATTAATCTGATTGGAAAAAAATGTGATTGAATTTGTCGGCATTAAAAAAACTGGATTCGGATTTACGCACGTGAATGATTTATAAATCTATTTTCGTGTATATTAATGCGACGTACAACAAAATCTCTTAAATGTAAACCAGTTTCACAAAATCACAAACAAAAAGTAACGATGAATTTGAAATATTCCGTCAATCCGGAATCTTCAAAATGATTTTTATTATGATACAAAAGTATACCGGACGTTAGTTCATTAAGAACTGTTGCGGGTATAACACACATCGTTTTGTCTTTTGTCTTCTATTTTATTTACCTCATATCTTTTCGAAAAACACACAATGTTGAAACCTATCAGTGAAATTATTCCATTTCTCGAAAAATCGTTGAACGCAACGATTTTGGATTTTTCGGCGGTGCCATTGACTGCAACTGGCGATAATTTCGGTAGCACTATAATGGCAATTAATGTAAAAGTTAAGCAAAACATTAGCAACAATTTATTGAATGAAGTAAGATCAAAATCGTTAATTTATCAATGAAGTGGAAGAAGAAAAATGTTTGTTTTACTAAAATCGCATGTTATTTCAGGTGAAAATGATTCGTTTGGCTGTTAAATTTCCGGTAACCGATGGTCTGCTCACATCAATATTTCAACCGACCATTACGTGTGTGAAAGAGAACTCATTTTACATGGAGATTGTGCCAGCACTATTTCAATTCCAGCGTGAATGTGGTATCACTGATGATAATTTGATTGATATTTTTATACAATGCTTAGGAGCACGTTTTTCACTCGATACACGTAAGAATGATTCATTTGATTTTTGGTTCGATGACATTTTAATGCCTCCGCGAATTTTGTTTTGTCAATTTTATTTAGATCACAAAATTGCCGACAAAAATGCTCTTCTCGTTTTGGAAAATATCAAATATAAGGGTTATCGAATCGGCGATCGAACAAACGGCTTTAATAAGTATGATGCGGAAGTAATGCTGGAGGTATGATCATTTTTGTGTTAAGCACGAGGAAATTTTAAACCATTTTTAACTCATTTTTGTATCGCATATAGAATATAGCGAAATTTCATGCACTTCCAATTGCGCTACGTGTGCTGAGACCGAGCGTATTCGAAGAAAAAATCAAACCATATTTGCAACGCATCAACTTATATGAAGGAATTGATACAGATGGCGAAATAACAAAGGTATGTATTTCCATTGTATTCACCCTTTTAGTTAAAAACATGTTTTTTTTCTTTCAATTTATATTCATTTATATTTTCTCTACCTATCGTCTTGTTACAAAAAGAGTCTTTGTGGCAGCGTTAGCAAAGTTCAAGGGCTTGATGAGAATCTACGGCAGAAGGTATTCAAACAGCTCAAACAATGTAGCGATCGGCGCAACAAGAATATTCTTGCAGAAGATTCACCATACACTGGAATTGCGCACTGTGACCTATGGACAAATAATATAATGTTCACAATTGGTAAAGAAAAATTCCAATTTAATGCCAAGATTTTCGAAGCTGTCATTGGTTTTATGTTTATTAATTTCTGTATTTCAATCACATTCCATTAAGATTCATTTGGGCGAGCTGACAAAGTCAAAATATGTGATTACCAATTGATGGCATATGATTCATTTGCTCACGATTTGGTATTCTTTTTATTCACCAGCATAGATCGTTCAATTCGAAAACAATATTTTGAACATTTCATTGAATATTATCATCAACATTTTTATAATACATTGGCAATGCTGCGATGCCCGCTTGAAGACTATACATATGAGAAGTGTCGATCGGAAATCGAAGCAAAAGCAAAATACGAACTTGAACACATTTTAAATATGTTGCGAGTCATATTGGCAGACAAACAGTCCAAACCAGGTGAATTGAATGCTGATTTCTTTTTCCGTGATGACTTTGTCAGTCCGAAATTCTATGATGTACTTTTTACACTTTTTACTGAATTTGAGCAGCTTAACTTTATTTAATATCAAATTAAGGTCATAATAAAACATTATTCGCAGTTATAATGTGAATTCGCGTAAATAATACGATTTATGGTGTTGTTATTGAATGTCTCATAACGTGTTTTTTTTTTCTATTCATCGATAAGAACTAGTTTGAATACAGTAGGACACAATTTGAACGGTTGTTGACACGAATAATGAATGTGTAGTATGAAGATTAAAAACGCTTTGTTTGTTCCGTCATTCAAAGGTAAGCTCCCCATCCGATATACATGCTAGCCAATTTATCAATATCAGTCGCCTCTGAAATACAATGATTCACCACACCTTCCGTTGATAGCGGCATATTTGAATTGACACCGTGCGTTTTTACCTTGAATAAATATTATCAAATCATTAATAACAAAATCGATTTGCATTTAAATTGGCTCATTAAAACTTACATATCCTTTCAATCGTTGTTCAATTTTTTGAACGTTTTGCATTGCTCCGGAATCGGTTCGTTCACTGCGACCATCCGATTTTGATTGTCGGCTCCAGCTAACCAATGGATCGTAGACAAATGGACGCAATACAGACATCAACGTTGGCATTTGATCTTGCAATACTTTTAATGTTATTTCACAGCATCGACGATATGAACCTTCTACACCAAGTGGACCCATTGCATGTACCTAATTAATTTAAAATATACAATTTTTAGATGACAAACAGGCGCGATGAGCAACATAAACGAATTATTCAAATGTCACGTCAACAAACATGCTTACCATATTATGTGTTAATCTGAATGGTACCACTTCAGGCACTTCGAATTGTTCACCTTTGTTGAACAAACAATTAAAATCGACGTGAACGATATCACCGCTATTTGAATCGAATAGAATGTTTTCACCGTGACGATCGCCCAAACCAAGTATATATCCAACAATAGACATCACAGCCGTTGTGCGCACATACGAATTTCGTGCTTCATACCAATTGTGAGGCGTTGTGAATCGTTCACGGAACCAATTTGAAAAAATTGGCGGACATTTGACAAGGGTACGCTTAAACCAATCACGTTTCTGTTCGAGCGGAGCATTTGTTAAGCGTTGACCTTCTTTGACCTCTGTGCTTGATACACCAATACGCTTTTGTTTATAATATCCTAAAGATGAAACGAAATTATGTTTTTTTTTTCAAATGGGATTTAGAAGCATTTTGAATAAATCAAATGAATGTTGGTTGAAAAATGTTTAAAACTAACCAGAGACAATATTTCTGAATGCTTGAAGATCCGGAACCTAGAACCAAAAAATAAACAGGAAAAAAATAATCAAAATGCAAACTAATTTTCAAGTGATTAGCCTCCAGATACTAACCCATTCAAGAATACCGCATTCTTCGTTCAATGGCATCACAGCATATGTACGAATATTCAAACGTCTTTGTCGTGCGTCTGAATTTTGATGTAAATACTGTTTAACAACCGAATTAAATTCCATCAAACGGAAATCTTTTCGTAAATCATCTTTCGGTTTCATCATAATCGTGTATTTTTTTCCATCACTGCCCATTAATGTAACGCGACGTGGTCGCTGTAGCGATGGTAAAACGGTAAGTTCATCTTTCATTCCAATGATATAAACCGCACGATTTGGGAATGCATTGAATGCCATGGCTGGTTCGTCACGTTGATGAAGCGGTGGTAAAACTGGTTGCATATACTTTTGAATGGGCAATAGAATTTGTGAGAATCCCGGTTTGGATAAAAGTGCCGGTAGCTGTGGATAAATTTGCTTAACGGAAAATTTCAATTGTTTGCCCGGCAATTCTTTGTTCGTTAATTCGATCATTTTTTCGGCCATTGCATTGAAATCTTGAATGAGTTTTTGCATTTCTTTTGACTGTAAACGTTTATCGGTTAATACTTCAGTGCATCGTCGTACACGACTTGCATATGAACTTTTGTACACGCTCAATATCATCCACAATGATTGTTGCGGAAATGATTGTATCAATTTAACCAAAATCGTTTTCAAAACATTGTATACATCGTTCGATGGATGACATATACGGCTTACCAATTGCGAAAAAGCCGTAAAGAATACAAACGGTGGCAATTTCAATGTATAATTTTCGGCAATTTGATTCATTTGTGTGGTACATTTTTTGAAATGATCTTCTTGTTTTTTATTTTTAAAATCACTGGCCGCCGTAAAATCCAACCAAATGCTAAGCGCCCGCGGCATCGATTGATAAACATACTTCGAACCAAATAGCATTGATTTGAAATATAATAAAAATATTTCCAATTGAATGTCGTACGCTTTTGGATTGTACAATTCGTGTGCGGTTTTTTCCGGCATAACGGCAAGCGTTTTATCCAGATATTGGGCATAATGTACGTGCGCCTTCTCCGAATCGCTTTGTATGGCCTGCTTAAAGCAATGCACATTCAGATTATTGCTAATATTCAATGACTCAGCATTATAGTATGCAATCAAAAACTTTGCTTCGGCATGGGCGAGATTATCAATGCTCTTACGATTTACTTTGTTCGGTTTAAGCTCTTCAATGCCACGTTCTAATACTTTGAAACAATTTGTTTGATCGCCCTTTTTCCACAAAAGTTTCGCCTTTTCAATGAACAAGAATTTCGGTTTGTACGATTCAGCGTTGAGAATATAAAGATCAGCCTGTTGAATGCATCCCTCTTCACGTGCCAAATCGATGCTCTTTATCCATGATGTTCCAATGTAATCGTTGATTTGGCTTTCTAATGATTTGAAAATATTCTCGTTCATATTATGACCGCTAGCCAATGACTTGACCTCATTCAAAACAATTCGACGTAGACACAGAACTGGTTCAATGATACGTGCTGCCGGTTGCAGTAGCTGCAAACGACCATCCCAATCGTGGAATAAGTTTTTAAGTGCATTCGACATTTGTGTTGCATCATAATTGTCATTTAAGAATTTCGATGTTAGCGAGTATGCTTGTTCAATTTCTGAAATCAAGTGTAATTTCATGACATTCGAATAGCCTTTGTGATAGCAATTTTGTTCGTCGCCAACAATACGCAGATCGGTGAGCACAGCCAATCGTGATTTATTTATTTCCGATTCAAAGATTTCGTTATTATTTTTACGAAAATCTAATAAAATTTGGCCACATCGAATGCCCCATTCGGAGCTTTCTTTAAAATTGGACGTGTCAATGAGTTCTTCCAATGCCTCGAATCGACTTAGACGCCACAATGGTTCAGCGGTGCTCTGTAATATAACATCAGCATTTTGATCGTATAGTTCTTTCATCAAACCTTCGGCCAATAGAATTGCGGTCTCCGGCTGGTCCAAACCCAAATAACATTCAATCATATCCTTTGCATTGCTTTCGATTAAACCATGAACGTGCATCATTCGTTCATAGCACACTGTCGATTCTTGTAAACGACCCTGAACATTATTTCGTAAAATTTGTTCTGTTAATGTGGGTTCGGTATCTTTTAAATTAAGTGCACCTTCCAATGAATCGGGATCCATCAATTCCGCATAGATTTGAAATAGAAACGATAATTCCTTTTGTAATCGTTGACCAGGATTTTCTTCAATGTATGTTTCCAAGTACATTAATGCCCGAGCATATTCGCCGCATCGGTAATTGGCACTGGCCAACAATCTCTTATCGAATTGATTAACAAAGTCGCTTACAATTTTATGGTATTGATCATTTTGTGATGTTCGAACCCATCGATCAAGGAAATCAAGTTGATTGAAAATTAATTTTGCACATTTTATTGCAATCACATCGATCGTATCGTTTTTTGCAATGGATTCCGAATTTGTCGACACGGAAAAATCTAGATCACGAATCGTTTTATAATTTATGTACGATTTACCTGATGTATTTCGATTATCTTCACTTTTGTTCGCAACATGATTAGCAATGGTTGAAAATTCCTCGGCAATTTGAAGACGATCGTTTGGTTCGCTCAATTGAATCGCATGTAGAATGATGTACGGTAATGCCATGGTTAAAATTCGAATATCAAAGCGCATGCTCAGTTTGAATGATCGTAATAAACTTCGTATTGAATCGTCGGTAATGACATCGACAGTTTTTGATGCCCACGTAAATGCCCATTCTTCATATGTTGTACATCGAATACTACCAAATACCGGATGAATTTTTAGTTTGGTAAATGATGTTGTTATTGTATAACATGATGTTAATAATGGTTCGACCAATGATTTCATGCGTTCCGGTATTGCTTGCCACACCTGGGGATGATCAGAAGAAAAAAATGTAAAAAATGGAAATTAATCAATAAGTAATGAAACAAAATGGAAAATTGCTTGCCGTACTTTTAAATTTTGATTTCTTTGTGGGCAAACATTTCGAGCCACTAAAATTTCCTGTATGGCCAACGAATATGCGTCAACATTTTTTGTATCTTTTTGCGACTGATAGGCAGAACACAGTTCGGTTAATGCCGTTATGGCAAATTCATCGGTGTTTATGCTCCGTGCAAATGACGCCTGTGGACGATAATTTGGCGATAAATGGCTCGGTTCAATGGCCGATAATTGTCCCAAGCATCTGCCAGCCGCAATTTGTAACGCCTCATCATGACTTTTAATACAAATCATCAAAATATCCAAAAGGTTTTCAATGCTGGAATGCATTTTCTGTTGGCCAATTATCAAATTATTCAATGCATTTCGATTGCTTTCAAATAATTCGGTCAAATAATCTAAACCATAGATGCGAATCCTTAAATTGTCATGGTTTATGTTTCGTAACGATGTCATAAAATCGGCAAAGAAACTGACATCCGATTTCTCTGTATATTTTGCAACGTGAGCTTTGATTTCATCGGAGACATTTGTATGTTGCAGAAAAAATAAGTCAGCAATGTGGGTGCTGAGTACATTGCCATTTTCAATGATTAAAAGTCGAAGAATTTCATTGACGGCTTCATGATGTGCCTCCATTAATGGTTCCAACGAAACGATTATCGTGCTCAGCAACGGTCCCAGCTTATCCAAATTAACCATTGAAATGAAAATCTTCCACACTTTTGCGCAAATATCCTTCAAATCCACCTGTTTTATGTCCAATGCCGTACGCAATACGGCCAATAACTTAAATCGAAATTGGGTAATATTTTCGGAGCCCATAAAACGCATAATACCGCCGATGCTCAATAGAATTTCGCGTTTCAATGATTTTTCATGGTCGTTAATTAAAATTTGCTCAAAATGACAAATCACACCGAGAAAGCGTTCTTTTAAGTAGTCAACCAAAATTTTGGTCGAAAATTCAGGCCGACAATTCTCCAATTCGGGCGCATCGCTGAGTAAATAACGAAATGTCCTCATGATAAATTCCGGCTTTTTATGATAATAAACCAGAATCTCAGCAACAGTTTGCTATTCAAAAGAGACAAGAAAGCGATTAATACAAACATACCACTGGAGTGGAATGTTATGATTGAATTTTCTAATCACCTTGATATCAAATCTTAGTAGCTCATACAGTGTATTGTCAGTATTATGTAAAACAAATTCCATCGCCTTTTCACGGACGTCATCGTTTTCGTACAGATGCAAATGCAAGTAGATCGATAAGAATGAATCGTTCAATGTCGATGCCACGTTTTTTTGAATAATTTCACTGATTTCCACAATTAAATCGATGCATTTTTCTTGCTTGATATACCATGGTACCAACAGTGCCAAAATGATGACACTGTGTTCAACGATAAAATCCTGTTTATCATCTGTGTATCCAAACATTTGACCAATCTAAAAATAATCATAAATTTATTGTTGTGAATTCTCCATCGCAAATTGATTAATATTCAAACTTACCGTTTGAAGTGATTTTTGTAATCCAACATTGTAGCTGATGTGATTGGAAACACACAATGTCACAATTAGCTTGAAAATATCCGTTTTATACCAAATGAGCAAATTTTTCGGTGTAATGCCAAATTTGTAGCACATTTCGGTGGCACGTAGAGCCGCCTGTCGTGACAACATTGATTTTGATGACATACAAAAATACAATATCATTCGAAAGCAATTCAACAGCATTGGTTCAGTAATTTCGTTTGATGTAGCAAATGATGATATCAATTGTAGGGCACTGGATTGGTTCGCATATTGATCGCTCATCAAAAACTTTTTTGTGCATTGCAACAGTTGTTCAAGGCATTTGCGTACAACAAATTGATTGCCACACTTTGGAAATATCACCATATACCGACCCATCGAGCTTCGAATATCGATGTCATCGTCAATGATTGGATTTAGCCAATAATCAATGGCCTCTTTGTACCGCTCCAAATCCAGATGATTCAAAATCGATGGCAAACACAGTGACATATTTGCTCGAATTTGTGTTTCATTCGATTTGAACAGTTTGAAATAGTTGACATGGAATTTATCGTTGATGTTATAATATGTGGTTAATGTGCTTACAAATTTTCCATTATTTTTGTCGAGAAATTGCAGCATTACCTTTGCTTCGTCGCCATTAAATTGATAGTGTGTATCGCATTTCGGGCAAATGACTTTGTATGGATATGTATTGCCTTTATTCGTTTGAAAAATGTATGCCAAACCCGATGAGATGCAGTACAATTCACTCAAACGACGTGATATCACCAAATGATTGTTTGCATTCGATGCGATGGTCTTGAGAAATTTTTCAAAATCTGAAATCCCATATGTATTCACTTGAATGACACAGCTCACTAAAACATTTATTATTTGATCCAAGCATTCGGGTTGCGTCAGATTGCTGCATATTTGTCCGAGAATGTCCATAAAAATGTCTTTGTTCTTCGTTAAAATATACTTTAAATTGATGCACGCAATCATTTGTAGAGCATGCTCTTGCCATGATGAAATTTCACTGTTCCGTACAAATGGTGACTCCATGATTTTGTTCAATCGTCTTGTTTCCTCTTCGAAACTGGCTTGCAAATGATTAAATAGCAATTCCGAGCATCGTATGAATGGGCACAAAGCGATCAATAGCAATTGTGATTGTAAATAATCATCAATCTCTTGTGCATCTGACACACTCAAAATGCCAATTGCGATTTCGGTGAATAGCAACAGTGTGGTTGTATCAACCAATGGACTGTACTTACCTAGGGACGATTAGAAGAAAACAATGGAAAAGAATGAAAATGAATCAATAAGTAATGGAAAAAGAATCGAAAGAATGGATCAAGAACTGTACTTACTTTTTAGCAACAAAGAGAAATTCATTATCACATATTTGCTAAGCTCATCCAATTGCGGTAGTAATCGTCTTGATACTGTTTCCATATGCATTTTAAACACCTTGCGCATATCGGTCATTAAATGTCCAGCCACTTTTGTCAAAATATATTTGCTGCACATTTCCCGTTGTAGATGAATCGATAGATTATACTCCATAAAACGAACGGTTTTTAAAATGGCAGCCAAACACTTCAAATGATTTATGATTGTTTCGGTCGTTGAATTTTGTTGGTTGAGAATTTCATGGGTTTTCGTATCGGCCACGCACCACGATTGCATATGGCCATTTTTCATTTGTTCCAATACAACCGGACCGAGGAGTTCGATATTTTTCCGAAAATCAATGTCATTGGCCAGTGTCTCTTTCACAAATTTATACATATTTCTGTGTGTAAACTCATCGCCAACATCATATGAAATGGCCTTGATCAATGTGTATATGGACGGAACAATTTTTTCATAATATTGTATACCGAAATTGTGATGCGTTTGCAGAATTTTTAAGCATGTATTTATTGTTTGACGCAAAATGTTCGCATCAAATAATTTTGCAATGTGTTGATTGTTCAACAAATCATTTACGTATTTAATAAACTCTTCAATATCGTCGGGTTTAACGAGTTTGTGATGTATCCAGGTTGGTATACGCGTTTCGATCTCTTCAATACACTCCAAAATCCATACGATCATCGGCTGCAGCGTTTCATTTAATGTTAATGTTGTCTTGAGCAACCGTGAAAAAAATCGCAAACATTTCGATTTAATTTCAATACTTGCATTTGTGAATGTATTCAAAATGCATTTTGTACATTGTGTCGTTCGTTCAACATCTGAGTTGGCCATTTGAATAGCCATATCACCCAACAATTTCACATTTGTCATTAGAATATAATTTTGCGATTTAATATTGGCTATTTTGATTTGTTTGAATGAGCAATCTTTGTCAATCGTTGTCATATCAAAATCGTCCATCTCAAACATGGTTACTGTCAACGGCTTTGACGCCTGCACAGGACCATTTGACAGTAAATTGGTGAATTCAATATATTTGTTAAGCAATTTATTGTACAATGGTGGCTGCTTCAAATAACTTGCTGTCAACACGTTTTCTTGGAGATTTCTTGATGTTTCTAATAAACTGAAAATCATCAAATATCGAATGAATAGTTAAAAATTTATGCGATTTTTTTGGTCATGCAATTTATGTTTACCAGTAAAATTGTGGCTCGTTTGACATCCAAATCACTTGATTGAGCAGCCAAATGACGGTGGCGTCTTGCATGAGTCGATCACGTTCATCACATACCAATGTTTTGATGAACATACCAGGATCATCATACGTCAAATTCTTTGCAATCATATTGATAACCATCTCTCTTTTTGATATGGACAACAATAAGTTTTTAAAACTCGATGTCACATGTTGGGACACAGCCAAACGTTCCGTATTGTTGCCACTCATCGTTACAATTCTAATCCATCAATTCACCAAACACTAAATACAAATACTGAATTTATGAACTACTTTCCTTTTCGCGTTTACGTTTTGCGCGGTTTGTTGATCTGCTGTCTTAGTGTTGTTCGTGTTTTGATTAAGTTCGCGCGCTCAAAGAAGATATCTGTCACATTGACACTTTTTGCCGAAAAAATGTACTAGATTTAAAGACGTGCTAGTACGAAAAAGACGACTTAAATCAAATTAGAATTATTTCTAATACATATTTGAAAAAAAAAAACATAAAAATGTACCTAGATGTTTGCTGAAAAATGTGTACAAAAAATAAAATAAAAACAGAAAATCATTTGATTTTTCGGCTATAAGTTATTTATTTAGTTCTTTCATTAATTTCGTTAATATTATTATCAATGTTATTGTTATGCTTTGTGGTATTCTTCCATTTTTCCATTTTTTTTATTCTTCATGCGTTTCTTTGTTGTTTTTTTTTGGAATGGTGTATTTTGTTTTTAAATGTTCGTTCTTGTTTTCACAAAATTTCCGTTACACACACATATAATTGATGCGCAATTGGATTGTGCTTCATATATCTTACTTTTCTTGTCGTTTTTTATTCTCTCTTTCATTTTATCTAAGCCGAATCGGTCCAAATATGTTTCATCCCATTTTCTGCGGAAAAATAAAACTTACGCCTACAATTCCTGTGTCAATATTACAAATTATTTCTAACGGCCTGCGTTAAAATCAACGTGACTATTTCACATTGACGTGTGTGTGTGTGTGTTTGTGTATTTGTGTTTGTGTATGTGAATGCATGTCTATAGATGCAGTGAGTATTAAATTATTATTCCTCTAAGAAAGAAATTTACACTCTGACTGTAATCAGTGTTCCATCAAATAAATAGACTAACCAAAAAAAAAAAAATCTTGCGCAAAGAGTTTCAAATATTCTTGTAAAATTCTTTCATGAAAGTGTGTAATAAGTAAAAAAATAAGAATCGATTTCAATCGAATATTAAAATCGTATGAAAAAGATACTGGGTAAAAGAGTTTTTTTTTTCGTAAAAATTAACACGCTTTTAAAATTGATTTTAACGTTGAAAAATGTAACGCTTCGACCCGGTGGTCATTTCTGTGTCACATGGAATAACCAGTATCCAAATAAATTACTCATGTCGATTCGTTTCACTTGTTTTCCAAAAATATCATTTGAATTGTTCATGTAATGAATTATGAAACTTGACATTCTAATTGAATTGTACAAAAGAAAAACACACTTAGTTTTTCAATATTTCCAACTTCAATTCTGATCAAAACAATAAAACCGCTTCAACTTTATAATGAGATAAAATATTTAGATTTTAGCCCCGAGTGAAATTTGTCGCAGATTTTCAATATCAGAGTGAATTTTTGGAGTTGAAGACCAGTTTTGATATTTCAGTTTTAGCACTAAATCCTCAAAACCACCTTTTTGGGGCAATTGTCAATCTCTCAAACGTATTATTGTAAATTGTCTAAAATCAAAGCTGTAAACAATCGATTGTAATAAAATGATGATTACACAAAATGGTTGACCATGTTTCAATATACTTCCAACCATTTTCCAGTGTTATATCATTTTTTCCGTTATCATTTTCTGCGCTAAAGATTTTTTTACGTTTTTTGATATGTTTTGTACGGATTATGAGAAGACACGCAAAAATGTTTATGAAAACATCAAAGGAATACTGGAATTTTTAGTTTGAGTTGGACAGCAATCAATTTACTTTTTATTTTCAATCTTGGAAAACAAATAATAATAAAAACATAAATGGAAAAATGTGATTTACGGCACCCACCGTCTGAAAATAAATTTGAAGAATGATAGGGCAGTATTCCTCGGACATTTGACTCTCGCATTTCCTTTTTTTAATTCGTCTAAAATAATTTCCTAAGAATGGCACAGTAATGTACCACCACAGTGTATGTCCCTTATAAATATAGCCATAGTATACAAAAAAGCCTAGTATTTTCTTGCTCTTTTCCTTTAAATTATGAAATATTTTCAGTATCTTCTATATTTTATATGTATCTCGCTTCATTCACGACTGACCTTAATTCTAAAAAGTATGATTACTTTTTCACTTACACCTTGGATTAAATCTATTTGTATTTTTTGGTTATTTTCTTCTGGTTTGGTTTGTGCGATGACTTTCATATTGATTACATGTATTGAACTCTAATTATGCAATACATAATACAATGTATCGATCGATGATGAACGGAACACATTTTGCGATTGAACATTAAGTGCCGAAACAAAATGTTTTCAGTTCATCGTCATTGACACTTCCTGGCTCTACAACATTTCTATATTTTCTTTCTTTCGGTGTGCTCAATTTTTTTTGTTGTTGTTATCTCTGCTTTGTTTGATATTCAAACTATTGGATACACATACAAAGAGTTTTTTTTTATTCTTAAATTTATTATTATCAATTACAATTTATGTGTAATTTTTTATTGATTTTTATCATTCAAAATTTGTTATTTTTTTCTGAATATTTCAAGTGTTGTTTATAATATCGAATCTGTATACATTATTTGATATAATTTCTTAAAACCCAAAATGATTGAGAAAGAAATGAAACGCAAATATGGTATATGAGTCCGTCCTTGCAGCGCTCTGTTCTATTTTGTCAAAATTAGTTTGTCATAGTTGTGATCATCACCATCATGTACGATATTCATTCAAAAATCGACCACACTTTTTTTTAAACTCTTATTCATATTTTTTGAAAAAAAAAAAAAAGACAGCAACTGAGAAATATTTTGTTGGTCAAAAAAAAATAAACTGTTCCCAGTGTGTAAAATGTTTCAATCATAAAATATATTTGCATCTAAAATGACTAAAAAGTGATTAATTATTCATAATAAAATTATTAATCTAGATATTAATTGTATGTCATAATGAAAATTCACCGTTGCTGAGGTTAATATGGAACTCATTCATTTAATCGATAATATTAGCATCAAACATTTATTTTTTGTGTGAACCCAAAACACGAACTATAAATCAATCGAATGAATGTACAATTTGTACATTGACACCTCAACAAACGGTTTAGATAGCATTAAAGTCAATTTTATAAGCAACAAACAATGAATAAAACTGGATACACGAAAATGACAAATACTGGCATTTTCTAACGAACAAAAATAAAATTCAAATTGATATTTACATATCTAATCCAATGTCTCCCCCCAACATCGTTGGACGGCTCAAATTGTTATTTGTGTCGAAGAATCAATTCATTGTTTTTTAGTTTCTAAAAAAATAGAATGATTTTTGTTTACGTATTATAATTAATTTTGTATTTTCAAATATTTTTATGCCATTGGTTTTGTGGTATTTCATCTTTTTTTCACACTTAAGATTATCATCTATTTAGGTCACATATACACAGAAAAAGATGATGTGGCATCAAACAACAACAAAATCTGTAACTGGGCTTCGTTTGTTTTGCCGCTTTTGTGGGGGATAAAGTTAAATTAAACGACTGACACAAACTAAAACGGCCTCAATGTTATCAAGTGTCATTTTTAACGTTGAAAAATGTAACGTTTTCACCCATTTCGGTGGTCATTTTCGTGTAAAATAGATGGTAGACTATAGGCATAAATTTACAATCGATATCAATTTTCCATAGAAAAAAATGATGATTTCTCAACTGTTCGTAAAAGACTTCTTCAAAGAGAAAACGTTTTCGTTTTACAGTTTTGGAGGCCCTTTCGAAGGTTTTGGTGGAAATGGCTATTTCAGACGCTGAAGAATATCCATGAACATTACATTCAGTTTTGCTTTCGTTGGCTTACATACATTTCTATACACACATAGTATGACTTTGTATGTATGATACAGTTTCTTACTACTTCTTATATTAATAAGCAAAACGATTGGCAAGCGAGTGAAAATAATGAATAAACAAAAAATTCATGATTATTGAATTTTTGTAAACATTATCGTTATAAGCGTTGTATTTTCTTTTTCCTCATTGTTGAGATGTATAGAATGTGGTTGTCGTGCGTTTGAAGAAAAAATCAACACAACATTTCAATGTGAGTAAGTTTTCATGGAAAGGAGCATGCGAATATGTTTGTGTTCAAGTAACTCACTTTCAGTTTTTGCATTAGTATTAACACATCGCATTGGCATCTCAATTGAATTTGTATGAGATTTTTTGTTGGTCACATTGCCGGTTTACAGAATTTAGTTACTGTCAAAACGAAAATCGCATTGATCTTCATTTTTTTTGTTAGTAATTTCGCTGCTTTTGAGTTTTATTTTGCTTGATCCTGTTCATTGATTGTTGTGCGGTTAATTAGAAATCTAGAATCATTCGTGAATATTGTATTCGGCATACAATTAAATAAACTCATCATTTATATTCCGCTCATTCTCAAGTAAATCAATAGGCATTTTTGTGTGATTTTAGAATAAATGGAAGCATTTACGGTGAATTTTGAGTTTGCTTCTGTTTTTATTTTAAATTAACAGAACATCTAAAAAATAACAACGTAAGAAATCCAAATTTCATCACCATTTGTGTCGATGAATGTCGCATTATTGTTTCTAAGAAAGAGCATTCATATTAAAATGTGAAATTCGAATGATCCCAATTGGAATGAATTGTACTTGAAACGCAACGAAACGATGATTTAAGACTGTGTGACAAACTGCAGGAATTTTTCGCAAACGAGAATCATTTTGATCGTTGACAGTTTCAGTTCAGACAACATACTCGTTGAATGAGGTTCAGAATAAAAAGTGAGTCGATCGGATTATCATGGGAACGAATTCGCCACATATTTCAAGTCCTCAAGTGGTTCGTTTATGAAATTGGCATTGCTCCGGGTTTTCCACTGTCCGTCGTCATATTGAAACCGACAAAGAGTTAAATATTTTAAATGTTTGTTGTTTTTTTTATACTCCCATTTATTAGTGATTTTGATGTGTTGAATTGATTGTATCGAAAAAATGCCATATTCATTCAATTTATTTGTATGGTTTTTTTTTTGTTTTTGTTCTATAGGAAAACATCACCGTTGACGCAGGAGAATACCACTGGCTGGCTCGATACAATCAACGCGAGAAAAAAGGAAAAAAATATCGAAAGAAATTCCAGGATGAGGAAAGAGCGCACATGGACTCGTTAATTTTCATGCCATCTCCAATTTGTTTAGAAATTTTACATCGAAACTCGAGTCGCAATGATGGACAAAGCCCTTGCTGTGTATTCGTAACGAAAATATGTCTTGCTAAAATTCGATCATTACTCTGATTCTGTTCATGCAAGTGATGAAACAGCCAACATGTTGACGAGACGGTGATATCAAGTACGAGACGGTGTTATGATTTTGCCAAAGGTTATCATCACAAAAATGAGTAAGCGACAAATTCAACGTCTTCGCAAATGAAAGCGATTGGAACAAGCTGCCCAGCCAAACAATGTTGTTCAGCCAATTGTTGCATATCCAAATCCATCACAACCACTTTTAGTTCCCAAAATCGTGGTATTATTCAAAATGAAACTAAATGACGCCGGTGAATGGGTATAAGTAGCAATGCAAACAAAAACTGTTTGGGACCGGAACATACTTGCGGCCAAATGTATCATGTACAAAGGTAATCGAAATTGATCTATTAGATTTTGTTTGAATGTTTATTATATGGTTCGTTGTGTTTTCAATGATATGCCATTGTGAGGTGTTCGGTGAAGAAATACATCCATCACTAAAGCGTCCACGACCGCAACCTCATGTCCAGCCACCTGATGCGCCAGCCGATGAAGACGACAATTGGCACGACGAATGGTTCTATGAGAATTACGACGAGTGGTACAGTGTAGCAGGCATTTGGGAGGAAGATCAGTTTGGAAATATTATCGTGCATATGCTTGACAATTAATGAACAAACATCGACGTCATTTAGTATTAAAATAAGAAAAAATAATGTAACAATAGTTACTTAGCTAGGCTTGATTTAGTATACATAAGTGTGCTATCTGTGGCCTTGCAAACTAATTAGATAATAATTAGGTCTTGATGAATCCGATTGTGGATCATTGGGATAGTTGTACAACTGCACCGCGTACATCTCGTACGTTTGTAGGTAAGTAGAATTGATTGAAAAAAGCGCAATACTGATGACTATGAATCAAATCAACTTTTATATCATACTAATTGAATTTTTTTCTCTTTTTTCTTCCACTGGTGACGTTGAATATGACTGAAACTACACAAAAATTCGGGCCCAAATTTGACCGTGAACTTGTGCTTGGCAATGGGTGAATTTGCATTACAAATTGTTCCTTGGGATAGTATTAAATATCCCCAGTAATTAATATTTTTTGTGCACTGATATACAAACAAGGGTCTCATTAACCCACTGTGACCTATCTGACGCTCTTGCAGGCTTATAAAAGGTTATTTTGAACATTCTTCAAACAAGTATTATGGCCGTAAAATGAAATCATTTCACGCTATTTAGTGATATCATTTTAAAAAAAAATGTTTGATAACCAAAAAGTTCATCCATGCAGAAATAAATAAATTAAAACTCTCGAAAGTGAACATAATAAAATTGAATTTTTCGCCCATTTTTACATGTAAATGTTGGATAAAATTCAAAAATTTTTCGTCAAATAAAAAATCAGTACAAAATTGTTTGAAAGAGAGTGACCTTCATTTGAGATTCGTACATTAATTATATGCCATTTTAGCCGGAAGCTTCGAAACTATTTGCGAAAATAAATATTCAAAATCAATCAAACTAATAAACATGACAACCATAGTTTCAAATATTTTTTTTACTCTTGTATGGCAGAAAACCAATGGCTGGTTGTATTTCAATATACAATAAATCAGGGATTGTTCCTCTGAGGAGGAGGAATGGTGAGGAGGAAAATGAGGAGGAGGAGGAGAGCGAGGAGGATCCTCCTCCTCAACTGAGGAGGAAAATGTTTTTAGCTAAAAATGATATTTTTGTGATAAAAATAGCCCTTTGAGCAAAAAAAACTTTTCCTCCTCAGTTGAGGAGGAGGATCCTCCTCGCTCTCCTCCTCCTCCTCATTTTCCTCCTCACCATTCCTCCTCCTCAGAGGAACAATCCCTGCAATAAATATATGTAATTATTATTTTGAACTTTGATTGTTTTTTTTTCTTCTCTTTAATAAAATTTATTCACTAGAAAATATAAAAAAGCGAACATGGTCTGGTTAAACAAGCGACATAATTTATTATTATTATTGTTGTTGTTGTTTCGAGTAGGTGTTAAAATGTTTTAAACAAAGTCCGTAACCTTGTAGGCTCTCTCACAAAATATACCTTCGTAATTTTTAAATTAAAAAAAAAATTGTAATAAGAAATATGGAATTGTGCGGTGTTAAGAAAAAATTCGAAAAATATATAAAAAAGGATTTTTAAGATTCACATTATCCAAAAATATTGAGAGCGAGAGAGGGAGAGAAAAAGGCGATATTTTTAATCTAAAATTATAAGGTATACATTAACTTAAATTGGTGAGCCTGCATCGCTACGAACTCAAACCTTTAAAACGCTAATTTCTTATTAAATCTTACAAATGTAAATTTATACTTTTTTTGTTCATTCATTGTTACGTTAGATATGTATTCACTGGTGACAAGTTGAAATGTTATTTGTTAAATTGTTTGTTGTGTGTTTTGTTTTCACTGTCTTATTTATTTTCAGATGAATCTCATATAAATAATTTTTTTTGTTATTGTTTTGCATTTGTAGAAATTTTACAAAATTTGTTTTTATTTATTTATTTTTGTTAAGAAAATTATGGCAAAAAGTTCCTTTTGTCTTTACTTGTTGTATGTTCATTTGAACGTAGTTATTTTATTTGTGTGCGATATTCTCCGTTAAAACAGCTCAATGTCAATCACCATATACATCCAGAATGAATGATGTTTGACTGTAATGACGATAATGATAGAAGTGATTGCATTCAGTGATTCTTAGCTTGTCATTTGTGTTTTATATTAGTTTACCTAATAATAATTTTCAGATTGATAGTTATATTTCATTCGATGTGGCTATTGTTTAAAGTGTTGTTTTATTTTGTCTTCATCATATTAATCGCTTCAAAAATATTCGACACATGTTGTGTTTGTGTATTATTGTGTGTATTTGTGTCTGTGTTTAACCTACCTGAATCGTATAATATGGGGAAAAAGGAGGAGATGTTGCATGCAATTACATGCTCTTCATTTTGTTTTGTTTTGTATAAAATCAAACAAAATTGTCTAAAAGCGTGCAGTTTTTTGTTGTTGTTTGTTTGTTTTTTTTTTTTCCTTTACCCTTTTCATCACAATTCATCTACACTAAAACTTAGCCATAAATAGTTAATATACGTTTCACTAATCAGATTCAAGTTGCATTTTGTTCCTAATATGTTAGGCTCACAGCACATAGCGCACATTTGTTTTTTGTGCGCTACAATGTATTTATTTTTTTTTCTATTTATCGATTTTTGTTTGTTTGATGTTCCATGGTGCATTTTAAAAAATAATTATACAATTATTTTCGGACCAAATCTCTTATTTAATGTGTAAATAACATCATTTTGATTGGTTGATAGTCGTGGGCGGCATTTTTAAACGATACATTTGCTAAAATGTAATCATCCCACTCTCTCATTGATGATCGGACGAGTGAGTTAGTCTATGAATTCAATACTTTTCTTCGGTGAATTGGTTTGACTGTCGGTTTTCTTTAAAATCGATACATGATGATGGGGATGAATGTCATTGTTTCGATTCATTGATGGAAATTGCAGCACAGAATCCTGTTTTAGCAAATATCCTCGTCGTTGATCGGCAAATGAAATGACTGAGTCCTGTTTCACCAATTGTGCTCGGTGCATATCTAAATAAGAAAAATCAATTATTTAAATCAAATAAAAAAAGTCAGCGACAAAAATGTGTTTGTACCTGATGGCCTTTGATCTGAAAATGATACAACCGAATCTTGTTTAACTAGTTGATGACGTTTGTGATGATCTATGTATGATGCATCACTGTCCTGGCTGCACAATGAATTCTTTTTGCTCTCAATGTACGAGATTTGTGTGTCTTGTTTATTTAAAATACCTTTTCTTGGCTCTATGTACGAAATGGTGCTATCTTGTTTGCAAAATAAATCACGTTTCGATAAATCCGAATCTTGTCGCATTAAGTAGTTTTTGCGCGTATCAATATATGAGATTTGTGAGTCTTGTTTCGATAATAAATGCCGTGATCCATGACTTTCTTGTTTCAATAGCAATTGTCGCGATGCATTACTGTCTTTGCTATCCTGTCGTGATATGCTACTGAAACTTTCCTGTTTATTGAGTAGCATCTGACGCGAATTGTTACTGTCTTGTTTCAATAGCATTTGACGTGATAAGTTGCTATCTTGTTTACCAAGCACACCGTGTCGTTTTTGTGAGCTTTGATCATAAATATATGAAACGGCATCGGATCGTATAGATGGGCTGTACTGCGTCTTTTTATTGTGATAATGTGACGATTTTCGTGTACTTGTTGAAGACGATACAATGGCAACATTTTCATAATATCTGAAATCGTAAAAATTTCTCTGTTTATCAACATTCATAATTGTACAACTAAAATGCTATTTCGTACCTCAATCGTGTGCAGCAACTTCTTGATCGAATGATAGCTGCAAATCCTCGACGATACTTTTTATTGAATAATGAATACAATAATGGATTTATGCACGAATTACTTGATCCTAGCCATTGTGCAAATGGTATTGCAATTTCCAACAATTCCTCTTCGTCGGAGGTCATCTCAGGATTGCCTATTAACATAAACGTTATTTTGAAATGGGAATAATAGATTTGTTTGTTTATGAGAATTGTGTTCGGTAAATACATACCGAATTTAATGCGAGCGAAGATCAGATACAAAGGTAACCAGGACAATACAAAGAGAATAACAACAGCAATCAACATTTTAACGACTTTGATCTTGGACTTTTGCTGCATACGATCCATTTGTGCGTCTTTTGTATCGCCCGGTATCGAGCGCTTCGATACTCGAATCCAGATGAGAATGTAGCAAAATGTAATCAATATCATCGGTACCAAATAGCATGCGAGCACATTTGCAATCAGAAAATACAATGAACCATCGAATCCGGGTGGCCACACCTCACGGCACAGCATTATTTCCGAGTCTTGATACAGCCCCCATTCCAATTGGAAAAACAATGCCCATGGAACTGTTGTGATCAATGCTATTATCCAAATGCAACCGATCATGATGCGAGCACGTTTTTTCGACAATTGCATCTTTAAAGGCCACCAAATAGCAAGAAACCTACACGAAAAAAAAACGAAACGACAATGGAAATACAAATGAAAAACCTTTAATAAAAACAGCTATATCGGAAAAATCGTATATAGTTTTGCATAGCTATTCATGACATGAAACATATATATTTCAATGTCTGTTTGCGACGTTTACTATTTCAACAAAACATTCGCAAAGCAAATCGCTTGCAAACGGATCATTATAAAATTATCCACCGCGTGTGCTTAAACGGTGCAGGCAATTACAATTCAAATGGAATTGTACGCTCAAGAACAAACACATCATTGTATTTTTTTTGTTTTCATGCATAAAAAACACCGTTGGACTTTTCATTAAAACTTTTCGCCACTAAATTCGAAATCAATTTTCCTTTACATGGTTCAATTCACAGTGGTTGTTTTGTATACGTATTTTACTTTATGTACGTATGCATGTGTGTGTGTGTATGTGTTTATGTATGTATTAACTGAAGTGGTAGGAAATGAAATCCAAAGCAAATAAAAATGCGCGATAAATGTGTAATTTCAAATCCGTTACGATTTCATGAAATGAAAGAAGGACAATTACTGCACCATTGAATTGATGGTCATCATTATTTCAATTTTCAAATTTGTCTTCTTCATTATCACGTATTCGCTATAGATCACTCAATGTGAATTTTTGCTATTCAATCGTACTCAATAAATTTATTATTGACATATTCGTTTGGTTTTTATTTTATTTGCAATATAAAAAAACAAAATATGGTCAATAATCGAGAGAAAAAAGTGGTAGGCTCCTGTGAACGAGCGTGCCCGTTCAAAGTGCATTTTTTATAATTCGATGTACACGTTGCATAGTTTTCTATATGCTACGAATTCTATGTAGTAAATGTGTGGCCTAACCCTGACACTGTCTTCTGATTTATTTCCATTTCCACATAAAGACCACTGTGTATACAAATACATACACTTCATAATCCAATGCTGCTTTTTATGCCTGGCTCTATATATATATATATGTGTGTGTATGTGCGAAAGGGAGAGAAAAAGCGTTTTTGTTTATTTAACGATTTTTATTTGAAAACTATGCACATTTTGAGCGAATCATATCTAAAACTTAAAATCAAGGCCAATTGTTTTTGGTTTGTAACGAGCCATCGTTGTTGTTAATTGAGCGCACCATCATCCAATCTGCAAACAAGTAAAAAATGCAAGACAAAAATCCAAAAATCCATTGATTCTAATTAGTGATTTTGTTTACATTGTAAATATAAATCGATTATTAATTTGTATGATCGAATCACGCAGTTGTTCACATTTCTGATTTCTCTCACATTTTTGTGGCTACAAAATACAAAAGAAAAAGACACAATTGAATTTGTTATGATTATGCCCTATGTTTGTAAAATATATTATAATAATGACAGAGACCGATATTTACTAGTTGATCGGATATTAAAATTCCGCTGTTCGATGCAAATGTCATTTCAAGCAATCGAAATACAACGTCGAATGGGCATGCGAAAGTATTCGCACCATCAGTGTCATCGTGAATCGATAGAATTTCGAGGCTTTTGTCGGTTTGTTGGAGCTTAAGTTTCAACTGGCAGTAACTAGGGCAATACTTTTTCGATATTGTTTTATATGTGTGTCTTGCCCCTTTAGCTTTTTCTACATATCATATGCAAGCTCATCGTGGATTGGTGTATTCTATGTGTGCATGCATGGTATTTGAATTTAATAAAAACAATTCCATATAATTTGCCAAACGATTTTGCAATGAACTCGGAAAAGAGGACAAACAGGTTGGAGAAAAGGTGAAAGAGAGACAGAGGGCCAGATATTGAAATGGCTTAGCACCTACTAGTCTACGATATGTTGCAAAGTACTGACATTTATTTCACTCTAAACGTATCGATTTGAAATACGACTGAAAAGATCTCGCCGAATGCACTACGCATTCACCATTCTGTCTATCATTGTATAGTAAATCCAATAAATTTTGACATGTCACCAGTTGATCAAATAAGTTTGTCACGTTGCCATTATTGAAAACTAATTCGAAAAAATTGAGGATTTGGTAAATGCGTAATGCACAATAAATGACCACTCGTTGTGCGAGTCTTGCATTGTTCGACGCATTTAATCTGGTTTTGATTCATATCCCATTCTTTACTCATCACATGCCAAAACTTTTTTAAATTAATTTTAATTTAATTAAAAAGATTTAAATTCTTAGGGTTTTGTGTAAGCATTTATTTCTAACAGATCTTTAGTAAACAGCATTTTAATGCCGTCCAAAGTACTGACAAAGAAAAGAAACTGAAATGAAACATTTGTTTGGGTTTACTAAATTTTTCATGATTTAAAAAAAACTATAACGGAATTATTAAATGTTAAAATGTATATTTTGGTGCGCAAGTCTTTTGTCAAACTAAAGTCTACTTTATTATTATGTTGCGGTATCGGCTCGATACATTATCGAACGTCAAAAATTGTACTTGAACTGTGTGTGCTACCATTTGGATAAGTTTGACGTTGGTTGAGATTCTTTTCTTAGAAAAATTTACAATTTCTTGTTTGCAATTTTCCCATACAATTACAACGATTAAAATTATTTATTTAATTCGGTGTAAATTAAAACAATTTCAATTAAGAAAGCGTTCTTGAATTAATCGGCTTGAACTGAGAAACGTGCTTTGGAGCAGTAAAATGTGTGCACCCATGCAGATGCTCTACTTTGAATAATATTTATTGTTGACATTTAAAAAATCTTTCCCATCATTGGTAATTGAAAATTTATGTAGAGCAACCGTGTCTCTAGAACAATACATTCAAAATCATATGCAAAATGTCCACTGAAATTTCAACGAAGTTAAAATAAAACATAGAATTTTGCTGCACACAAAAGTAAATTCGAAAAAAAAAATGGAATTGTTTAAACTGAACTATAGACACGCCTCGTAATAATTTGCATGCAAATACAAAAACTAAGCGCCAACAAAATGATCGATAACAAATACAAGCACAAGTAATTGCGACCACAAAAAATGAAATGCCTAAAGACTTTCAACACCGATACACAAAGGAATCCAATTGGATTTGATTTTATTTGAACGAAGAAACTAACGGTTCACAACGGTTCGTCATCCTTGAACGGATTTTCACAGAAAATGTATATGTGTGTGCGGTGTATGATTTCGATTTTCGTTTTGTCATACTGTCTTCATCACAATTCTGAGTCCCAATTTTGACATAGCGGCTTTTATTTCATATTTAAAAAAAGAAGAAGCGATAATACGTTTTCTGCCATAAATTTGCTTATTGAAACGTATTCATGGATTTTTATCAGAAAAAAGACTCTCTAGCTCACTGTATTTCAGTTTAAAATTGTATTTAGGCCGAAACACAAATTCGATAATTATGCGAAAGAAAAGACACTCGCCATACTCAGTTATTGTTATTGATTCATTTCGTTGTTGTTATTAAAATGGATGGTGGTTGTGGTGGTACTGCTTTTTTACTCTTCATTCATTCCAGTAGATCATTCTGGCTGTAATAATTAATGATGCTGAAAAAATTGGTCTCTGTATAAAGAACAGTGTATTTGTGTGCTATCAATTGAAAATCGATATTGGTTGGTCTATGACTGAACTTGTTATTTTTCATGCGATAAATAAACAAACACAAAATGGTTTTTCTTCTAGAAATTGGAATTGGTATTTTTATTGTTTTTTTTTTTTTAACAAAGAAAATTGAAAACTGGTAACAAAAGATGGGGTCAAAAGCGGAATTCCGAAAAAATAATTTAAATGTTCTGTTTGATTTTTTTGTTGTCGTCAATTTTTTCACAGCATTTTTATACTCCTATATGTTCGGTAGTTTTAATGCACAAGGACTGGAGATGCATGTACAATTGGAGAATGGTGGACAGCATGAACAACTGGGGCATGGACAATTGGAGCTGAAATAAAAATGCATTCATTGAAAATATATGTTTTGAGTGTAGATTCAAAAGTCCAAACCATTAAAGGCAATGTTGACTTAATATAATGAGAACATTTGAAAATTGCCAAAAAGAGAAAAAAAAATGGTTTGAACTTTATCATTTAAAATAAAAAATAAAACAACGAATTTATACCATGATGAACGGTCTTAACAAGTGGGACGTGGCTAACGATTGGGGCATGAACGATTGGAGTGTGTACAACTTTGGTAATTGGAGCAGTGTGCACAACATGTCTAAAAAGAAAGTTTATGATTACAAAATTGTGTTCTTCTTCATCACTTCTGCGATTGAATGTCGCATCATTTTTGCCATTTAAAAATAAAATCAACCTCCAAATTAAGAAATTTTCGTGTGAGGTTAAATTATGTTATCTTTCGAATCCGTTGTTCGAACTTTGTATGATTTGATTATACATTGTGCTCGGCTCAGAATCTAACGTGATAAATGAAATTGTGAATGATCGAAAAACTTACGATGATGAATGGCTGACAGCAACTGGATGAGCGTGCACAGCATGCGTAACAACTGGTGATGCAACCACAGCTGGATGCGACAAAATAACTCCTGGGGCAGCGTTGGCAACGGCCAAGACACAAGCAAGAGCAAACTAAAAAAAAATTCAATTGATTATTTTTTTCTTGTGATTTGTTCGCTCTGCGTTGAATCTCAACACATCAATTTTTATAAATACTCACCAATTTGAACATTTTGGTTGGGTTTTTTGTTGTTTTACTTTTTTTCAATAAAATGAAACGATTTGTACTGAACACTTGAGGATGTGCAAGTTAACTGATGATTTGTTTGGAATACGGCGCACCTTTTATATGAAATTCAAATCGATCGTTGGCTACTAGTTTCCTATACTGTACTAGCAGCGTGATTGAAGAGGGAAAATCAAAACGCAAAGACGATGTAAAAAAACACACAGCACGAAGTTGCAACTCATTAAAGGAATAAGCGTCATAGTAATACAAGCACAAACAAATTGAATATATAGCACACATGATCATAGTATCAATTCACGCTCTTTGCATCTCACACACCGCACCACAGTACAAAAACACTGAGGTGAGATAGCAGAACCGAAAGAGAGAGAATATCGAGCCATAGCTCCTTAAGTATTGCCAATACAGGGACAAGTGTTGTGTTTAGCATTAAGGCTTTGAGATACATTGATGTCACAATCGTTTGAACTCCATAAATTACATACATATTGTAGTTGTACGCATGAAAACCTGTGTTTGTATGTACAACGGCGCCAGTATCGTTGTTGTTGCTGCTGCGAACATTGGTATTTTGCATGGGCAAAAATATTCGAAATGAGTTCAATATCTGACCGAATAAAAAAAGAGACCAGACAGACATTGGTGATCTTGAAAATCTCATCAGTGAATTTTTGCATACATTTATGGATTGTAATCTCGAATGACGTTCATGTAATCATTTCAACTTATAAATCATATATACTTACCATTTTTTTGAATCATTATCAATCAAACTTTCTTATATCATTATCGCGAACAAAAAAAAACTTGACACACTGAATGCAAACGTAATGAAGACGAAGAAGAAATAAATAGCTTATAAAATGGAGAAAAAACAGATATGATCGATTTCAACATTCGAGAAGATCATGTGCATTTTTAAATCTATGAGACAAAAAGTCAGTGGCTCGATTTATTGCCGCGCCTCATCATGGCTTTTGTGTGACAAAGCGATCCGACATTGAATTTAAAATACATAATCACTTCTCGTGTATTATTATTTGCGCCCAATTTTTCAAACGATTTTTCTTTATACTCACGATGGGTGTTTTGCCCATTGGCATTTTGTAAATATAATCGACTCATTGAATATTTGCTATAGACACACATACACTAGACGTAAATGAGGAAGAAGTTACAAAGAGGTAAAGGCAACAACAACGAAAAAAATGGCCAAAAACAAAGCGTGTCACGTGCAAGTTCAATAACTTGACATCATTAATGGCTTCGGATTGCTTTGGCCCTCTTTATTTCGAGTACTGATCAATCGCAAGAGTACGTCAAGTGTGCGGATGGCTCAAATGACAAGACACCAGACAACAACAACAAAAAACTAACTTCAACTATAAAAGCAACAACAGTCGTGAACATATAACAATCGGAAGTAAATTGTTTGAAGGTTGACACGCGTTTCGATGCGAGATTTGCTTTCTACACACAATAATGAAATCACAAGTGGTGTCGACAAGATTTAAGCTGAATTGAACTTGATTTTGTACCAACCTATGCAATAAACATAAAAATCATATGATTTGATTCGCAACAAAACGTATGCTCCGCACTCTGTATGCTCAATAGATTCGCAGACTCTCTATCTCTTCCCATAGACACAAGAATCTCTTCAATCGAAGGTTGGGTCAATTTACTCAAATTGATCGCATTTGTATATGCGCAAACACAAAGCGTCCGTCACTCAATTGCAAATAATTACATAACGATTTAATTGCTGCGTTTACTACTGTTTATGTTCATTTCTGCTTTTATTTCTGGTTGTACGGCGGTAATTTTGACTTAAATACGCATAAACACACACACACACACATGTATATTGTGCGTGCGTGTGCGCATTAGTCGATAATTACAATAAAAATAGCAAAAACAGAAGAGAAAAAAATGCGCACACACAAATTCGCTTAATCCTTAATCGAGACATGTGCGACATATTTTCCATTTAAAGCCGATTTCAATAACTCCACTGATCTAATAAATACACACACCTTTAAAATTGGCATAGCGAAATAGCTCTATTTGCCATTCATTCTTGATATCGAGAGCATAACAAGGTTGATTTCGATGATTTATTTATTTTAAATAAACATTTTAAGTGATTTATTGAGACATGTATCCGTGCTGCTCAGAACTTTTTTATGGTCACATTTTTTTTTTCTCACTTTTCGCTCGTGCTCGTGCATTTCTCGATCAGAACATTTTATATTCAAATATGTGCAGTTTCAAACTGGTTTCACTCTTTTCAATTGTAAATTTTTATTAGACGATTATGGATAGATGCTTTACATATATATTTTCAAACCCTTCAATAAAATTAGACACATGCACATAAAAAAATGCCGAGCAAAAATTTTAATACATATAAATCATAAGCATTGAAAATATACATTATGAATTTATATGTGGCGCTTGCATCATATTCAATCTAATCTCTTTGGCTAATGTTGACTCTCTTTTTTTTCTCTATGTATAAATCAATTTATGCCGTATTTATTAAAGTCAATTGAATCGGTTTTGCATTTGAATTTAATTTCGCATATGCATAGTCATTGACCATAGACATTTCGTTTCATCGTTTATTCGGTTTGAATGGTATCTTTGGTTTATGATTTCTTGTTTGTGCCGAGAAATAAAAATGTGATAAAAATTAGTTGTTGTTGGACAAAAAAATTATATTGGTCCTTTATGATATAATGTTCAGATTTATGCATGAATCCGATTTTTATTGCCAAACCGGAAGTGAACGAAAACGGATCTCTTCTTTGCTCCTTATGCTCAAAGAAACAAAAATCAATATAAGCACGATTTTATTTATTTAGGTATTATATAATGGTCATTTTTAATAAATTTCTTCAAAATTGTTGTGTGAGTTTAAAAAAAAATGGGAGATGATTTTTAAATTCATTTCATGGGTGGAACTGTTTTTTACATTTCGTTTTACTTTCTCTCTAAAATCGATGATGAGCACGCAACAACTACAAAAATGTGTGCTTCTCATGTCATATTCACGCAATTACGTCCATTTTGCCAAATAGTTAAATTTACATTTCATTTTATTTTTCGTTTTTTTTTCCTCTTTTTCTCAATAAACAATATCTCAACACACTTATGTTGAGCATATTTGAAAACAAACTTGAATCCAAGGCCTGTCCAGCGATGAAAAACGATGAAATGCATACTGAAAATCTGCTGGTATGTGCTCGAAAATGTTTGTGTATCAAAAAAAAAAGATGATGACATTTAGAGATGATAGAAAAACAAAGTGTAGGGTAATGCATGGTTTATCCAGAATATAAGATGAAATAAAATTGAAGCATAATTCAAGAAAACTAGAAAACTTTTTTGTTGTTTCGTGTGTGTGTTCATTGGCAGTGGCACTGTTTCATTGAATTGCCTGAAAGTCTCAAGCATTTTGCATTCGATGACTATCGTTTCAATTGGCATCATTTGTTACATCTTTTCTATTCATATTCTACTCTATTCGGGGTGGATAAAATTCTTTTTCTCTTTCCCTTCTCATTGTGATAATACCAAATAGCAAATTTTTATGATGTTACTATGGGTTGCCAAAATCATTCAAATCGCCTGAATTTTCACCACCATCCGATGATATGTTCCATATCGTTCGTATGAAGCATACACAAAGCTCAGACAATATTGTCATAGTAACATTATGTGTGCGGTGAGCGTACTCATCTTTTACCATAATCATGCGATCTATTTTATCGAGGCTAAGTAAATTCAAATTGGAGCGGCAGCACATTGGCTACTTTAACGAATAACAAAGACTTACTTTATAGGTTTTGTTATTTCCATCTTATTTGGTCTTGAGGTCTCCTTTTGAACGAACCAAACAACACAATCGCATTCGATTTTAGGTGGAATACAACGAATACCAACACCATATCAATTCCACTTAGCATTTCATAATGGTGTCCATATTTTATCAAAAATCAAAGGCCCATTTTGATCTGGATAATTTGTAGTTTTATATCGTTGGGTGAACCGATTTGTAATGCCCATATAATCACTGATTTTAAATCATCACGTCATAATATCGTATAAATTTTAATGAGTTTGTCCAAATTGATTAGGTAAATTAATGTAATACTCCTGCCAATATTCAATAATGTGATTTGCTTATTTCATCAGAAATTCTAACTTGAAACTCTATTTATATCACACATGCATATTTCTAGTGTTTGTACGCGTTTAATTCAATTACATAAAAAAATGGAGAAAGAATCATATGCCAATGTTCCATGTTTAAAAGTAGCAAACAGCAAACATAACTAAATACAGTCTCGGTCATTGACCATATCGATTTGAGCACGTGCTCACATTCCCAGCTACTTTGTCTTCGAAAACAATTTGATATCTATTTTAGTTGGGAGTACATTTTTATGACATCTAAATGCCACATACACGCTGCTTCTGATCTCAAAATACCGATTAAATAAATGATAAACACTTTATACTTTAAATGCAATTGTTTCAAACACACAAAATAAATGCCAGTTATATGCCATATACAGAAACGATAAAACTTTCCATTTTCTCGCAATGTTTTAGATAATCCATAATATAAAAGCCCTACAATCCATGGAAAGAATCAAGAGAGTATGAGAGAGTAAGAACTCAAAAGTATTTGACGTAACATAAATGGAAGACAAAAGACACAATTTCTAATTTCATCAAATTCTAAATGCCATTTTAAGCCTTATGTGTATTGCTATTATATTATTTAACAACAATGAAATTTTTGCATCAACATCAATAATATAGAAAACACATTAATATTAAGTGTATCATGTGAGGTAATATTTATATTGATCAACGTCTCAACAATGTCAAGTGATCTTTATTAAAAATAATCGTTTCACTTGAGATTAAATGTCGAGCAGTACAGAAATTGAAAAAAGAAAAAGAAAATTAAGAACCAAGTCTATCAACAATGCATGATACATGGTTTATGTAATAATTCAAAACTCAAGTGGTTCTATTCGGAATTTGGAATCAAGAATTATTTTGTCTTTA